GCTCACGCCTGTAATCCTAGCTACAGAAGAGTCTGAGATCTGAGGATCGAGGTTCAAAGCCACCCCAGGGAGACTCTTATCTCCAATTAACCACCAGAAAACTGGAATTGGTGCTGTGGCTCAAGCAGTAGAGCACTCGCCTTGAGCTGAAGAGCGCAGGGACAGTGCCCAGGCCCAGAGTTCAAGCCCCATGACCAACAAAACAAAACACACAAAACCAAACCAAACAAAACAAAACTGTATTACGAAGTGCAGAATAAAACTGGATTGCCAGTGACTAGCATGGACACTAAGCATGCATGAACAGAGGTGGATTCTGGCTGAGCATCAGGAGTTCTGTCTGTGGGAGGCCACCTTCCCCTCAACTCTCATTCTCCTCTTGGTGAAGATGATGGAAAAAAGTCTTCATGGCAAGCCAGATAAACCAAGAAGGTTGAATGAGGAAAGTCTTATCACCAGGGGAAAGTTTCCACCTAGAAGCCAAATGTATTGAACAATTTTTTTTTTTTTTGGGTCATGGAGCTTGAACTCTGGGCTTGGGAGCTGTCCCTCAGCTCTTCAGCTCTTCAAGCCTCTACCACTTGAGCTACAGCACCACTTCCAGTTTTTTAGTGGTTTATTGGAGATAAGAGTCTCACGGTCTTTCCTGCCCGGACTGGCTTTGAACTGCAATCCTCAGATCTCAGTCTCCTGAATAGCTAGGAGTACAGGCGTGAGCCACTGGCACTCGGCTGTATTGAACAATTTTTTGTTGGTCGTGGGGCTTGAATTCTGGGCCTGGGAGCTGTCCCTCAGCTCTTCAGCTCAAGGCTAGTGCTCTACCATTTTGAGCCATAGCACTACTTCTAGTTTTGTGTTGGTTAATTGGAGATAAGAGTCTCACAGATTTTCCTGCCCAGGCTGGCTTTGAACTGTGATCCTTAGATCTCAGCCTCCTGAGTAGCTAGGATTACAGGCATGAGCCACCAAAGCACTGCTTGTACTGAAAATTTGATGCTCCTCTGAAATAGAATCAAGTCTATCTTAACCAACGCTGGTCCACAACTACATCCAGCATGAACGTGAACTGAGAGGGGGTTCAGAGAGCACTCAAGCCCACCATTTCACACATTAAGAAAAAAATGAATAGAGCTGGGTGCTCATGTCTGTAATCCTAGCTACTAAGGAGGCTGAATTCTTAGCATCACAGTTGGAAGCCAGCCTGGACAGAAAAGTCCTTGTGAGACACTTATCTCCAACTAACCACTCAAAAACTGGAAGCAGAGCTGTGGGCTCAAAGTGGAAGAGCACTAGCCATGATAAAAAAAAAAGCTCAGGGATAGTGCCAAGGCCCTGATTTCAAGCCCATGGCCGACAAAAAAGAAAGAAAGAAAGAAATGAATAGAAATATTATTGTATTTAGCCGGCCGCTGGTGGCTCACGCCTGTAATCCTAGCTACTCAGGAGGCTGAGATCTGAGGATCGCGGTTCAAAGCCAGCCCGGGCAGGAGAGACCATGAGACTCCTATCTCCAATAAACCACCAGAAAACCGGAAGTGGCGCTGTAGCTCAAGTGGTAGAGCGTTCGCCTTGAGCTGAAGAGCTGAGGGACAGCGCCCAGGCCCAGAGTTCAAGCCCCACGACCGACAAAAAAAAAAAAAAAAAGAAATATTATTGTATTTGACAACAAGGAAATACCTTTTAACATAATATATAATAACTGTAGGATGTAGAATACCAGGCACAATTACAAGTTTTTCTTGTCCACCAAAGTTTTTATAACACTTTAATAAAAACATAATAATACAAGTGAATACCAATGTATTACTTACCATCATCAGAGGTGTTTTTAGATAGCAAGTTCTATCTTTTTTTTTTTTTTTTTGTCAGTCGTGGGGCTTGAACTCTGGGACTGCGCACTGTCCCTCAGCTCTTCAGTTCAAGGCTAGCCCTTTACCACTTGAGCCACAGTACCACTTCTGACTTTTTTTGTTTATGTGATGCTGAGGAATCGAACCCAGGGCCTCATGCATGCGAGGCAAGCACTCTACCACTGAGCCACCTTCCCAGCCCAGATAGCAAGTTCTCTCAGTGTTTCCTTCACACTGTAACTTTCATAAAACTTTAAAAAGTTATACTGAAGGGAAACTGATGCCTTCATACGTATTATCTGGGCATAGAATCTTATAAATATTTGCAATATTAAGGTTCCTGGCTTATATTTTCAAAAGCAATCATGACTACCTCCCTGCTTTTTTAAGGTAAAGAGCAAGTCGGGTGCTTTAGAAGAGGCCAGGGAGCGCGAAGCTGGGGAGAACAGGGGGAGTTATAAGGTTCTTTCTTCCATGACAAAGAGACCTGGAAATGCTAGCTTGAACGTTCAGGTTTGTAGATTTATTCCTTTTCCTTCACTCTGTTTAGACAAATGATTAATTTTTAACAGAAGTGGTACACAGCAGGAAGCCACTGAAAAGAGGTAGTGGTGGTGGTGGTGGTGGGGACTTTGGTAGAAGACAGAAGGAGGAGAGATTTGGTCTGCGTAGAATGCCCACTTCCTCCTCATGTGGGGAGGAAAGCAGGAAGAATGTGTCAAGAATCCCAGTCTAACCACTCTGAAAAATGACCTAAGTATTACAGTTGCATTTTCCTATCTCTGTACCTGCCTTCAAATAGCATAGTTCTGGTGGAGAGAAGCAAGGAGCTGGCTGATAATAAATGCTATTAGCCACTGCTTGGGAAATGCTAACTTAAATCATGTTTTAAAGTATACTATTGCCTGATGGCAGGCATATCCTACAAAATTTCAGGTTATGGACTTTAAATATGAGATGATTCTATAAAGTCAGGAAGTAGATAAGATGTCCATACAAGTTGATAAGGCCTACGTATTTGCTTTTAGTTATTTTTTTAGGTAGGTGCTAACTGAAGCCCTGCATAGCTAGGATGAAAGAAGGGGGATCTTACTAACTTTCTGCTGAGGCTGGTGATTTTCTCTAATCTCCACTTCCAAAGTATCTAGGATTATAAGCACGCAACATCATACCCTGGTCCGATATTGAGGGTTTTTTGTTAGTTTTGTGCAGGTACTGGGACTTGAACTCAAGGCCTTGAGCCCTTCTTTGGCTTTTTTGCTAAAGTATGGTGTTCTACCACTGGAGCTGCACCTCCATGTCTGGCTTGTGACTGGATAACTGAAGGTAAGAGTCTCATGGACTTTTCTGCAGTGACTGGCATTGAACCTAAATACTCAGATCTCTGTCACCTGAGTAGTTAGAACTACAGGTGTAAGTCACAGGTGCCAGCCCAATACTGAATTTTTGACACCTAATCAAAAAGGTGATATATGTATACACACATACACATATATACATAGATATATACTTAAAATTTTTTTTTTGGTTGGTTGTGGGGCTTGAACTCTGGGCCTGGGTGATATTCCTGCGTTCTTTCAGCTCAAGATGAGCGCTCTACCGCTTGAGCCACAGTGCCACTTCTGGCTTTCTAGTGGTTTATTGGAAATAAGAATCTCACAGACTTTCCTGCCCCAGCTGGCTTTGAATCATGATCCTCAGATCTCAGCCTCCTGAGTAGCTAGGATTAAAGGCGTGAGCCACCAGCGCCCGGCATACTTTAAAATTTTTAATTTTACTTTTTGCCAGTCCTGGTGCTTGAACTCTGGATCTCGGTGCTGTCCCTGAGAGGCTAGGGCTCTACCACTTGAGCCACAGTACCATTTAAGGCTTTTTCTGAGTAGTTTATTGGCGATCAGAGTCTCAAGGACTTCCCTGCCTGGGCTAGCTTCAGATATCAGCCTCCTGAGTAGCTAGGATTACAGTTGTGAACCACTGGAACCCAACTTAGGTGATACACACACACACACACACACACACACACACACACACACACACACACACACAGAGGTTGGGAGGATCGTGGTTCAAGGTTAGCCTCAAAAAAAGTAAGTGGAAACCTCCATTTTAACAGGCTGAGTGTGGTGGGTGCAAGCCTGTATTCTCAGCAATAGGGAAAGAACAGCCAGGAGGATCTTGGTCTGAGGCCAGCCCTAGATAAAGAAGTCTGGCTACAGTTTGCATTTTTTGCTAGGTAATTAAAGATAGGAATCTCAGACTTTTCTGCCTCTACTGGTTTCAAACCCTGATGCTCCCGGTCTTCCCTCTCTGAATAGCTAGAATTATAGGCATGATCCACCAGCATTCAGCTCTAACTAAAATATTCTTCTCTTTTTTTTTGGCCAGTCCTGGAGCTTGAACATAGGGCTTGGGCACTATCCATGAGCTTCTTTTGCTCAAGGCTAGCACTCTACCACTTGAGCCACAGCACTACTTCTGGCCTTTTCTGTTTATGTGGTACTGAAGAACTGAACGCAGGGTTTCATGCATGCTAGGCAAGCACTCTACCACTGAGCCATATCCCCAGCTCTAACTAAAGCATTCTTAATCTAAGGTGCTCATAGATTGTGCTATGTCTACAAGTGTACTTAAGTCAAGCAGCTAGTGGGGATGTTTAGGTAGGTAAACATTTTTCATTAATTACTTATTGCAATATAATTATATATATATATTTATGATTTCTTTGCAAGATACATGGAAGACTACTGTACTGATCCAAAGATACCGACCAGGGGCTAGGAAGGTGGGTCAATTGTAGAGTGCTTGCCTTGCATGCATAAGGCCCTGGGTTCGATTTCTCAGCACCACATAAGAAAAAAGAAAAAAGCCAGAAGTGGCGCTGTGGCTCAAGTGGTAGAATGCTAGCCTTGAGCTGAAGAGCTGAGGGGCAGCGCCCAGGCCCAGAGTTCAGGCCCCACACCAGTTTAAAAAAAAAAAAAAAAGATACCGACCAAATTGTAACACAACATCATATGAATAATAATCAACTTAGTTCAGGGCTAGTTGAGTTTAGGGCAATAATACCAAAATCTGTATAAACAACACACACACACATACATACACACACACACACACACACTCACACACACATAAAACAAGTAAAATCATTACCTGAGGTACACCAATTTTTCTGCAAGCTTCTAGGAAATTCTCCACATTTCGCCTGCACTTTGCCATTGTTAATTTAGGCTGCAACAAGCAAAGAAAGGAAGGAAGAAGTTTAAAATTTTTACAAACTTAAAAAAATTCTTTCCAGGGCTTGGGAAGGTGGCTCAGTGGTAGAGCGCTTGCCTTGCACACATGAGGCCCTGGGTTCCATTCCTCAGTACCACATAAGCAGAAAAAAAAGCCAGAAGTGGCGCTGTGGCTCAAGTGGTAGAGCGCTAGCCTTGAGCTAAAGAGCTGAGGGACAATGCCCAGGCCCAGAGTTCAGGCCCTACAACTGACCAAAAAAAAAAAAAATTCTTTCCAGTTGCTTCATATAGTCACAACTCTTTTTTTTTTGGGGGGGGGGGGGGCCCGGTTGTGGGGGCTGAACTCTGGGCCTGGGCGCTGTCCCTCAGCTCTTCAGCTCAAGGCTAGTGCTCTACCACTTGAGCCACAGCGCCACTTCCAGCTTTTTTCTTTTTGCTTATGTGGTGCTGAGGAATCGAACCCAGGGCCTCATGCATGCAAGGCAAGCGCTCTACCACTGAGCCACCTTCCCAGCCCCAGTCGCAACTCTTTTAACTAGGGATCAATGAAAGTTTTCTTTTTCTTTTTTTTTTTTTTGGGTCCGGTGGTGGGGCCTGAACTCTGGGCCTAGGCGCTGTCCCTCAGCTCTTCAGCTCAAGGCTACCGCTCTACCACTTGAGCCACAGTGCCACTTCCAGCTTTTTTCTTTTTGCTTATGTGGTGCTGAGGAATTGAACCCAGGGTCTCAGGCATGCAAGGCAAGCGCTCTACCACTGAGCCACTTCCCAGCCCCAATGAATGTTTTCTCTTAAGAGACTGGATAATAAATGTCATTCCTGAAAGCCTTAAGAACTCTGTAACTGCCCATTTCTGCCAGGACTATGAATGCAGCAACACATGTGTAAACAAGTGAGGGCCTGTTCCATGAGATCTGGTTTATGGAAATGTGCTGCCTAGGGTGGGATTTTGTCATCCATGCTGCAGACGTTTTACTTTGGTTTAGTAAGGCAGTGCTAAACAGAGAAATTTTGGAGGTATAGTTTCATGTTTTATTCAAGTTAAAGAAATATACAAGTTAAAGAAAAAATTCAGAAGATAAGCTCACTGTTCAAGTATAATCACAATTACACTTGGTTTATTTTCTTTTAGTCTATTATTTATTTTGATTATTTTCTTGGTGCTGGAACTAGGTATGACATCCATGCCTTGCCTTTTTATTGGCTTTTTTTTTTTTCAATTATGGCTAGTGTTTTATCACCACAGTTCCACTGCTGGTTAATTGGTGATAAGAATCTCACAGACTTTTTGGTCCTGGCTGGCTCTGAACAATAATTTTCCATCTTAGCCTCCTGGGTAGTGAGGAGTACAGGCATGAGCCACTGGCACCCATCTGTAATCATCTTTATGTGTTGCTCTTTTCTCTAGAGTAGTGAGACCAAGAAGGCAGAGACTGGCTCTTCTGTGTTTGTGTCCCTAACAGCCAGGACAGTGACTGCCTCTGTGCTAAATACCTGTCCAGTGAACAGCCAATGCTTGTTGGCACTGTGAACTTACCACAGCTGGTGAGGGAACGTGAATGCTTGTGACAGACCGAGGCCGTACATGGTTAGCCAAATGGCAAAGAACAACACCATCAGTTAGAGCTGCTCCAAGATCACAAGGCAGTGACACTTTTAACCGGTACTCAATGTGCTGCAGAACAGGAAAATGTGATTAACACACAGGACATGAGGGAGATAACAAAGGAAGATGCTTAAACAAAACCTAGAGAAAAGAAATAACGCATACCATACTTAAGGGGATCCAACATATATGTATGTATATGTGTGTATATATGCAGCCAGGCCACACTGGTACAAAATATAATAGAAATTCACATACATTTTTCTTATTAAAAATATTAAATTCTTTCAATCCTCAAGTAAAATACCCAATTTCTCATCATATATATATTGTATGTCCATACAGATATATACATGCACATAAATGATCTCAATCTTCCTTTGAAACAGAGTTTCACTATGTAGCCCTGTTTGGCCTTAAACTAACTACCTTCCTTCCTTTCTTCCCTTCTTCCCTCCCTCCTTCCTTCCTTCCATTTTTCTCTCCTACTTCCCTCCCTCTTCTGGTGCTGCGGCTCAAGGCTGGCAGCACTCTACCACTCAAGCCAAGTTACAGCTTTTGGTGATTAACTGGAGGAAAGAAGCTCACAGACTTTCCTGCCCAGGCTGGCTTCAAGCTGCAGTCCTCAGATCTCAGCCTCCTGAGTAGTTAGGAGCATAGGTATAAGCCACAAGTTCATGGCCCAAGATTTCTTTATAATATAAAGCAGAAAGGAAAGGAAAAGATTTTTAAATGAGCAGGGCTAGGATGTGAGCTTTTAGAATAGCCCAATTTATTATTGTGGAAAAAGTGAAAAGTTTTCTTAGAGACAAAATTTCTTTTACTTGCCTCACAAAACATAGTAAATGGGCCGGGCGCCAATGGCTCATACCTGTAATCCTAGCTACTCAGGAGGCTGATATCTGAGGATCAGGGTTCAAAGCCAGCCCATACAGGAAAGTCTGTGGAACTCTTATCTCCAATTAACCACCAGAAAACCTGAAGTGGTGCTGGGGCTCAAGTGGCAGAGCACTTGCCTTGAGCTGAAGAATGCAGGGACAGCACTCAGACCCAGAGTTCAAGTCCTATGACCACTACCACCACCACCAACAAAACCATAACAAATGGACACTTACTGGTTTTAGAAAAACTATGTTAAATGAACTAGTGATTACAGGATATGGAGTACAGCAGTAGACTGAAAACATGTAACTTAAAGGCAATGTACATACTTTCCGCAGCTGATCTATTAATTTCAGCTCTTCTTCTCGCTGTCTAGTTAAAGAGTTTGTAGAATCGGCTGTAGGTGCACAAGATGGGAGAAGGGGTGTGGCCTGACCTAGAAAATAACCAAATAAAAGACAGAAAGGTGATTGCCAGTGCAGTTACCAATGTGTCTGTTGACAGTCTCCTTGAAAGCATATCACTTCCTACTTTCTGGAATCATTTTGTCTTTTTAATGGTAAAGTTTAAATACACACGACAATGGCAGAAGAGTATTAAAGACTGGGACATTTTCGGGGCTGGGAAGGTGGCTCAGTGGTAGGCCGCTTGTCTTGCATGCATGAGGCCCTGGGTTCGATTCCTCAGCACTACATAAGCAGAAAAAAAAAAGCCGGAAGTGGCGCTGTGGCTCAAGTGGTAGAGCGCTAGCCTTGAGCTGAAGAGCTGAGGGACAGCACCTAGGCCCAGAGTTCAGGCCCCACGACCAAACAACAACAAAAAAAAGACTAGGAAATTTTCATTACTCACTTAGCTCAATTGCTTCTTTGATATATCTATTTAAATGTTTTTATTGAAAAATTCCATGTAGAATATTCCACGCAGAAAATTGCACAGAGGAATAAGCACAGTAGTCATAAAAACACAAATGTCTAGAAATCAAACCTTAGCTATACCCAAATTTCTGATCATGTTCCCAACCCATACCCACAGGCTACGAGAATCTAACACTATGGACTAGTTTGTCCATGTTGAATTCTTTGTGTCTGGCTTCTTTTGATCTATATTGTGAGATCTAACTACGGTAGTATGTTCATTCTCTTTACTTACCATGGTATTCCATTGTATAGAAATAATAATTCATCTACCCATTCTGCTGATGGATACTTAATTTGCAATTATTATGAATGCTGCTGCTATGAATGCTTTTTTTTTTTTTTGGGTCTGGTCATGGGGCCTGAACTCTGGGCCTGGATGCTGTCCCTCAGCTCTTCAGCTCAAGGCTAGCGCTCTACCACTTGAGCCACAGCGCCACTTCCAGCTTTTTTTCTTTTTGCTTATATGGTGCTGGGGAATCGAACCCAGGGCCTCATGCATGCAAGGCAAGTGCTCTACCACTGAGCCACCTTCCCAGCCCCTATGAATGCTTTTGTATATGTTCTGGTATATATCTGTGCATATTTCAGATTTTTTTTTTGGGGGGGGGGGTCAGTCCTGGGGCCTAAACTCTGGGCCTGGGAACTGTCTCTGAGCTATTCAGCTCAAGGCTAGCACTCTACCACTTGAGCCACAGTGCCACTTCTGGCTTTTTCTGCTTATATTGAACTGAGGAATCGAACCTAGGGCCTCATGTATGCAAGGCAAGAACTCTACCACTGAGCCACCTTCCTGGTCCTGAAACATGTTTTGAGACAAAGTCTCACTGTGTAACCCAGACTAGCCTTGAACCATAGCCATACAAGTGCTTTAGCCTTCCAAGTGCAGACATGTATCACTATACCCAGTTTTGTTCCAATATTCCATTCTCAGAAGCTCTTAGCAAACTTACTAACCAAAATAAATTCAAGTAAGATGTTCCTCATTAAATGCTAGTGAGATCACACATAGATAAGATAATTTAAGCATTTAAGGCTTTTTTTTGTTTTTTTTTTTTTTTTTGCTAGTCCTGGGCTTGAACTCTGGGCCTGGGTGCTAGCCCTAAGCTCCTTTCATTCAAAGCTAGGGATTTGAACCACTTGAGCCACAGCACCACTTCAGACTCTTCTGTGATTAACTGGAGCTAAGAGTCTCAGGAGCCAGGTGCTGGTGGCTCACACGTGTAATACTAGCTACTCAGGGAGCTGAGATTTGAGGACTGAAGGTTGAAGCCAGCAAGAAAGTCTGTGTGACTCTTTTTGTTTTGTCAGTCATGGGGCCGGAACTCTGGGCCTGGGCACTGTCCCTCAGCTCTTCAGCTTAAGGCTAGTGCTCTACCACTTGAGCCACAGCACCACTTCTGGCATTTCCTGCTTATGTGGTGCTGAGGAATGGAACCCAGGGCCTCATGCATGCAAGGCAAGCGCTCTACCACTGAGCCACCTTCCCAGCCTTGTGTAACTCTTATCTCCAATAAAGTACTCAAAAAAAAAAAAAGCCAGAAGTAGTGCTGTGGCTCAAATGGTAGAGTGCTAGCCTTGAGCACAAAGAGGCCCAGGGACAGTGCTCAGGACCTCAGTTCAAGCCTCTGGACCAAAAAAAAGTCTCACAGACTTTCCTGTACAGGGTGGCTTTGAACTGGGATTCTCAGATCTCAGTCTCCTGAGTAGCTAGGATTACAGGTAAGCCACTGGCATCCAGCTGAGTTTAAAGCTTTTGCTAAAGTGTAAGCTTGGTTGTAAAAGCCTACCCCCAACCCTCCCAGTCCTGACTTATCAAAAGTCATTCCCACCTACCTTTATTTGTTTCAGCCCTAGCAGCTCCTCGGAAAAGGAAGCTTTCAGGACGCTGGGGCTGGTTTCTCTGGGGAGCAGCAGGAAGAGGATATGCAGGGGAATGAACTAAATGAACACAGAGAAGCAATGTGAGTCATGGCACATTAATACCACATAGGCATATAAACATGGTAATGATGGACCATCATGTTCATTTACAAAACATTATGGTACAGAAAAGTGATCAAATCAGAGAGGCATATATGTGTTTGTAAAATTATTTTTTGGGTTAGTCATGAGTCTTGAACCCAAGGCCTGGACACTATCGAACTCTTTTGCTCAAGGCTAGTGTTCTACCACTTTGAACCACAGCACCACTTCAGATTTCTGGTGGTTAATTGGAGTTAAGAGTCTTATGGCCTTTCTTGCTTGGGTGGTTTTGAACTGCAATCCTTAGATCACAGCATTCTGAATAGCTACAATTACAAGTGTGAGCCACCAGCACCCAGCTGTTTTTAAAATTTAATACTTTCAGTATAACAATTAATGTAGAGTAAATATTAATGTATTGAACAGTCTCCTGCAAGCCTACAGACCTGCTATTTCAAGCTCAAATGTTCTCATCAAATGGCTAAATAGTGTACAACTAATTGAATTAAAAAAAATAGTAAATGTTTAGTTTGTAATTTTATGTCTAATTTCTTTTTTTAAATTTTTTTTATGTCTAATTTCTATCCTTTTTAAATTTATTTTTTATTTTTAATATATTTTAAATATATTTTTATTGTGAAAATACTGTACAGAGGGGTTACAATTATGTGGGTAAGATAATGAGCACATTTCTTTTTTTTTTTTTTTTTGGTCGGCCGTGGGGCTTGAACTCTGGGCCTGGGCGCTGTCCCTCAGCTCTTCAGCTCAAGGCGAACGCTCTACCACTTGAGCTACAGCGCCACTTCCGGTTTTCTGGTGGTTTATTGGAGATAGGAGTCTCATGGTCTCTCCTGCCCGGGCTGGCTTTGAACCGCGATCCTCAGATCTCAGCCTCCTGAGTAGCTAGGATTACAGGCGTGAGCCACCAGCGCCTGGCAATGAGCACATTTCTTATCAAGCATTGTAGCCTCCTGCTTTGTTTCCCCTTCCTGTCCCTTCGTATCCTCCCTCCCCCACCCTGTCCTCCCCCACCAAAGTTGTAAAGTTCGTTTTTCGACATAACGACTTGTCCATCTCATTGTTGCAATGGGTCCTCCTGTATACCTGTTTTTTTTTTTTTTGGGGGGGGGGGCGGGAGGGTCCGGTCGTGGGGCCTGAACTCTGGGCCTGAGCACTATCCTTCAACTCTTCAGCTCAAGGCTAGCACTCTACCACTTGAGCCACAGCACTACTTCCGGCTTTTTTCTTTTTGCTTATGTGGTGCTGAGGAATCGAACCCAGGGCCTCATGCATGCAAGGCAAGCACTCTACCACTGAGCCACCTTCCCAGCCTCTGTATCGCTGTTTTTACAATTTGTTTTTTCCCTTCCCCTCCACATATACCAACATCATATATAGTGAAAGCAGGGGTTATACCATGGGGGAGGGACATACAAAAGGCAACAAAGACATAATCTTATAAATATGTTAGAAACAATCGCATGAAAGATCTCTCTCTCTCTCTTTTCTTTTTTTTTTTGTCAGTCTCGGGGCATGAGCTCTAGGCCTGGGAGCTGTCCCTGAACTATTCAGCTCAAGGCTCATGCTCTACCACTTGAGCCAGCCAGCCACTTCTAGTTTTCTGGTGCTTTTTTTTTTTTTTAAAATAGTGATTAAGTGATTACATAATTTCCCAAATTCCACAGTATTGTGGAATAATGATGCTCATTTAAAGTCACAAGCTCATTCTAACTTTCCTGGAGCAAATTGTCTATCATGGTCTATAACATGTAACTGTGTACACATATACACCATACATGTGATCAGCAGCATGGGGATATTTAGTAGTGGTTCGACCAGATGAGTGGAAGTTCTTTGTTCCTGTTAATTTTATTGTATCACCTAACGTTTTGGATTTAACATCCACTTATCAGGGAGACCATGTACCGTTTGTCTCTTTGCTCTTGGCTTACCTCGCTCAATATGATTTCTTCTAGCTCCATCCATTTCCCTGCAAATGCCATTATTTTGTCATTTCTAATGGCTGCATAATATTCCATTGTGTATAGATACCACAATTTTTGGATCCATTCATCTGTGGTGGGGCATCTGGGTTGTTTCCATATCCTAGCTATTGCGAACAGTGCTGCAATAAACATGGAGGTGCACGTGTCCTTGTATATTGGTTCCTGTTGTTCAGGGTAGATGCCTAGAAGTGGTATGACTGGGTCGTAAGGGAGGTCAATCTTTAGCTTTCTAAGGACCCTCCAGACTGCTTTCCAAAGTGGTTGTATAAGTGTACATTCCCACCAGCAGTGTAATAGGGTTCCTCTTTCTCCACATCCCCTCCAGCATTTGTCGTTGGCTGATTTGTGGATGTGGGACATTCTGACTGGGGTGAGGTGGTATCTCAGGGTTGTCTTTATTTGCATTTCCTTCACCACCAGGGATGATGAACATTTCCTCATGTGTTTCTTTGCCATTTTTATTTCTTCATCTGAGAAATCCCTTTTTAGTTTCCTTGCCCATTTAGTAATTGGTTTGTTAGGTTTAGGAGGGATTAGTTTCTTGAGTTCCCTGTATATACTAGATGTTAACCCTTTGTCTGATATATTGCTGGTAAACATTTTTTCCCAATTAGTTGGTTGTCTTTCTAGCTTGGTTGCGATAGATTTAGCTGTGCAGAAACTTTTCATTTTAAGGTAGTCCCATTTGTGGAGTCTCTCTCCAATTTGTTGTGACCCTGGGACTCTGTTCAGGAAGTTCCTTCCTGTGCCTATTAGTTCAAGTGTCTCTCCTACTGTGTCCTGCAGTAGTTTCAGAGATTCAGGTTTAATGTTAAGGTCTTTAATCCATTTTGAGTTGACCTTGGTGCATGGTGATAGGCTGGGATCCACTTTTAGTTTTCTGCATGTGGCTGCCCAGTTTTCCCAGCACCAGCGGTTGAAGAGGCTGTGTTTCTTCCATTGTATGTCTTTGACTCCTTTGTCGAATACCAGCTGGCTGTAGGCCTGTGGATTTATTTCTGGATCTTCTATTCTGTTCCATTGGTCTTCGGGTCTGTTTTTGTGTCAGTACCATGCTGTCTTTGTTATTATAGCTCTATAGTAGAGTTTGAAGTTCGGCATGGATATCCCTCCCATGTTGTCTTTATTCCCTAGACTTGTTTTGGCTATTTTAGGTCTTTTGTTGTTCCATATGAATTTTTGGACTGTTTTCTGTATTTCAGTGATGTACGTCATTGGGATTTTAATAGGAATTGCACTGAATTTGTATATTAATTTTGGCAGTATTACCATCTTCACTCTATTGTCTGCCTATCCATGAGCATGGGAGGTCTTTCCATTTCCTAATGTCTTCTGCAATTTCTTTCTTTAACTTTTTATAGTTTTCATTAAATAGTTCTTTTACATCTTTGGTTAGGTTAATTCCTAAATATTTTATTTTTTGGGAGGTTATTGTGAATGGGGTTACTCCCTTTATTTCCCTCTCTTCTTGTACATTGTTAGTGTACAGGAAGGCAACTGATTTTTGTGGGTTTATTTTGTATCCTGCTACTTTGCTGAAGTGATTTATGATTTCTAAGAGTTTGGGGATGGGGTTTTTGGGATCGTGAAGGTATAGTATCATGTCATCTGCAAAAAGGGATAGTTTGACTTCTTCTTTCCCTATGTGGATCCCTTTAATGTCTTTTTCTTGCCTTATTGTCCTGGCTAAGGGTTCCAGGACTATATTGAAGAGGAGTGGAGACTGTGAGCATCCTTGCTTTGTTCCTGATTTTAGGAGAATTGGTTGTAGCTTTTCCCCATTAAGTATAATATTGGCTATTGGTCTGTCATAAATGGCTTTTATTGTTTTAAGAAATGTTCCTTCTATTCCTCTTTTCTCCAGAGCTTTTAGCATGAATGAATGTTGAATTTTATCAAAGGCCTTTTCTGCATCTGTGGAGATAATCATGTGATTCTTGACCTTGGCTCTGTTGATGTGTTGGATTACATGTATTGACTTACGTATGTTAAACCATCCCAGCATCTCTGGGATGAAGCCTACCTGGTCATAGTGTATGATTTTTTTTTATGTGTTTCTGGATTCTGTTAGCTAGAATCTTGTTAAGGATCTTTGCATCTGTGTTCATCAAGGAAATTGGCCTGTAATTCTCTTTTTTGGTTGGGTCTTTGCCTGGTCTGGGGATGAGTGTGATATTGGCTTCGTAGAATGAGTTTGGGATAGCTCCCTCCTTCTCTGTTTCTCTGAAGAGCTTGAGGAGTATGGGTATTAGTTCTTCTTTAAAGGTCTTATAGAATTCTGTTGTGAATCCATCTGGTCCTGGGCTTTTTTTTGTTGGAAGACTTTTGATAGCTTCCTGTATCTCGTTGTAGGATATTGGCTTATTTAATTGGTTTACTTCTTCTTTGCTCAGTTTGGGCAACTTGTATTTCTCTAAAATGCATCCATTTCTGCCAGTTTTTCTTCCTTTAAAGAGTATAACTTTTGAAAGTAGTCCGTTAGGATTGTTTGGATATCTTGGGTACGTGTTGTCATTTTTCCTGTGGCATCACTAATCCTGTTAATATGGGTTTCCTCTCTTCTTTTTTAAATTAATCTTGCCAACGGTCCATCACTTTTATTTATTTTTTCAAAGAACCAGCTTTTTTTTTTTTTTTTTTTATTGGCTAGTATCTCCTTTGAGGAATTGTAGAGCATTAGAACTTGGGCACCATAAAATATTGTTTACCTCACCAAAGGTCTGAATGCTCTATCTTGTCATTTGCATCCTGTGCTCCCAAACACTTTTCAGCTCTCCCAGAATTGCAAGGAATATAATTGGACCTGTTATTGTTGACAGTATGAGGCACTTTCAGTCTTGCTAGGATCTAGATTAGGGCTTAGTGGGAAAGGTCGGTGCTGTCAATTTCTCTTTGGAGGATTATCTCTCCGTTGGGGAAGCAGTAGAGCCTCCTCACTTTGGGACCTTAAAACTGTTTTAAGGTCACCAAATTCTGAGTGCTCTATCTTGTCGTTTGCATCCTGAGCTCGCTAACACTGGTCAGCTCTCCCAGAATTGGAAGAAAAAAATTGGACTGGTCTCTGTGGACAGTGTGAGGGGCATTAAGCCCTGATGGATGCAGACCAGAGTTGCCTGGGCTAGAAAAATGCAGTCTATTTCTATTTAGCGGATTTTCTCTCCTTTGGGGAAGGTGTAGAGCACTGACAACTTGGAGACCTTAAAACAATTGTTTTAAGGTCAAAGAACCAGCTTTTTGTTTGGTTAATTTTGGCTATAATTTTCTGATTTTCTAATTGGTTAATCTCTGCTCTTAATTTGGTTATCTGGCTCCATTTAGTAACTTTAGGTTCCATTTTTTCTTGTTTTTCTAGCTGTTTTAATTGCAACATGAGATTATTTACTTGGTCTGTTTCCATTTTCTTGATGTGGGCACCGAGGGCAATAAATTTGCCCCTCAGGACTGCTTTTGCTGTGTCCCACAAGTTTCTTTGCGAGGTGTTTTCATTTTCATTGAGTTGTAGGAAATGTTTTATTTCTTCTTTGATCTCTTCCGTTACCCAGGCATTGCTAAGAAGTGTGCTGTTCAATTTCCATGTATTAGAGAAATTTCTGCGGTATGTTTTGTTATTGAGAACTAGCTTGATTCCACTGTGGTCAGATAGGATACAGGGGATTATGTTGATACCTTTGTATTTGCTTAAGTTCCTTGCATGAACTATGATATGATCTATTTTGGAGAAAGTTCCATGAGCTGCTGAGAAGAATGTGTACTGTGTTGTTTTATGGTGAAATACTCTGTAGATGTCAGTTAACTCTGCTTGAAGTATGGCCTCACTTAATTCGGTAGCTTCTTTGCCAATCCTCTGGTTGGTAGACCTGTCCTTTGGTGAGAGTGGTATGTTAAAGTCTCTTAGTATTATTGTATTGGGATCTATTTTATTCTGTAAGTTTGAGAGTATTTGTTTAACATATCTGGGTGCACAAATATTTGGGGAATATAAGTTGATGATGGTAATATCCTCCTCTTGGATTGTTTCCTGTATTAATATGTAGTGTCTATCCTATCTTAAAAAAACAAACAAACAAACAAACAAAAACCCTACAGGCTGGGTGCTGGTGGCTCATGCCTGTAATCCTAGTTATTCAGGAGGCTGAGATCTGAGGATCACGGTTCAAAGCCAGCTCAGGCAGGAAAGTTCCTGAGATTCTTATCTCCAAAAACCACCAGAAAGATGGAAGTGGTGCTGCAGCTCAAGTGGTAGAGTGCTTGCCTTGAGCTGAAGAGCTGAGGGACAGCTCCCAGGCCCAGAGTTTAAGCCCTACAACTGACAAAAAAAAAAACCCCAAAAACCATACAGGGGTCAGAGATTTTTTTTTAAAATTGCAATGACTGTTTTCTTTATTGGGTTTTTGGAATTGGATTACAACCAACTCTCAAGACTACAAAAGCAATAAAAAGCAGCCAGCTATGTTTTACACCATGGTTTCACACAAAGCAGATAAAGAAACACCAGAATGTCTTATTTGCTATTTTTAAAAAATCGCTAAGGGCTTATGGCAGAAGAATGCTGAAAAAAATCACTGGGAATATGAATAAAGGCGTGTTTGTTATGGCAAAGTAGTCCTAAGAATTACAAAATCTGCAGAAGCTTGGTTAATCAAATACTGCAGGACTGGTTTAATCAGTATAAAATTGAAAGAGCTTTTAGATTCGTAGTAAAAGTCCCAATTTGGGGAAGGGCAAACTTCAAAACAGCAGCCAAGTAGGGAAGTTTAGGGCAAGGGATGAGTGAACAGGCACATTTGAACTGTGGGGACGCATTAACTGACCACTATCAAACCAGTGTAAGTTTCTTGGTTTCTCATGGAAAACATTTTACACACCTAAGTTCATCAGTGTCCAGATACTTATGCTCCTTTTTGTTTTCTTGGCTTGTTGGTGATAATACAACATAATATTGAATTTACTTCAATTCCTGTCCCATGTGGAAAAATTAGATGATTTCAAATATTTTCTTCAGCTCCACAATAAGCTGTCAATCACTCTTCTGCATTTCATCTCTGAACCAGTCTTTGAGTGCGTCAATGGACTGCTGGCTGATCTTGCTGACGAGAGTATCTGTAGCTTCAAAATGTCTCCCAAACATTTTGGGAGATTCACCAAGGATAGACTTCTTGTCCTTTTTTTGCAACATCCACTTGTTTATGATTTATTTCAATACTTGTTACTATTCCAATGTCAACAAAATTCTTGCTCGGAACACACATAGATGTCCTTTGTTTCACCTCACCAGCTTCTACAGTCATCCCCATCACTATTGGGCAGAGATGCTGTTCAAGTGGCAGAGCTCCTGCCTAGTAAACTTGAGGCCCTCAGTTCAAACTCTAGTACCACCAAAAAACAAAATAAAACCAACTCCCCCAAACAAAACAAAATGAAGGAGCCACTGTTCTCTAGGAAGTAAAATTCTGATGAAAAATTCTGTCTTCCGTAGCGTGCAAGGTAGTTCATGCCTGTAATCCCAGCATTTGGGAGGTTGAAACAAGAGGCCCATGAATTCTCAGGCCAGCCTGTGCTACATAGTGAGACCTTGTCTCAAAGAGAAAAAAAAATTAGTTTATGATCTTCATATAGTTAATTGTACTTAAAAAAAAACTTGTTATTATTAAAGTGTTGTACAGAGGGGTTGCCATTTCATAAGTCAGGTCATGAGTACATTTCTTTTTTGGACAATAGTTAGTTGCACTTTTATGTCTATTACCTGTTTCAGTTGTAGGCAAACTTGATTTGGCATTAGATCTGTCATCACCCTGTGGAGAACAGAGATAGCAACAATTACTATTCATCTTATTCAAAAAGAGATACTTTCCATATTCATAGTAACCTTACAAGATTAAATAAAAAGCTCATGTAGCTTAAATTTGGCAAAATGAATTTATTTTGTCCTTTTGAAAAAAAAAAAACTTTTACATAGTTGTGTTTATGTAAAGCAGTCTCTAATTAAGAGTCCCATTACATAAAAGGCTTTCTGAAGACTGAAATATGTTCAATAGCAAGCAAAATCTTTTTTGTTTTGTCAGTCATGGGGCCTGAACTCTAGGCCCCGGCACTGTCGCTCAGCTCTTCAGCTTAAGGCTAGTGCTCTACCACTTGAGCCATACCATCACTTCCGGCTTTTTCTTTTTTTTCTTTATGTGGTACTAAGGAATGGAACCCAGGGCCTCATGAATACAAGGCAAGCGCTCTACCACTGAGCCACCTTCCCAGCCCAAGCAAAATCTTTTACTGTGAATATATAGAAAAGAGTAAAGAACTTACACTATACCAGCATTTTTATGGAATACTTTCTAAAGTATTTTTCTAAAGAAAAATGTAAACTTCAAGGAAAGTGATTTATTTACATTTCTTCATTTGATTGAGAAAAATGTGGTCAAAAGATGCTAGATGAGCCGGGCACTGGTGGCTCACGCCTGTAATCCTAGCTACTCAGGAGGCTGAGATCTGAGGATTGAGGTTCAAAGCCAGCCTGGGCAGGAAAGTCTGTGAGACTCATCTCCAATTAACCACCAGAAAGTGGAAGTGGTGCTGTGGCTTAAGTGGTAGAGCAGTAGCCTTAAGCTGACAAGCTGAAGGATAGCACCCAGGCCCAGATTGACCAAAAATAAAAAAACGATGCTAGACGAGGGCTGGGAATGTAGCTCAGAGATACAAAGTTTGTCTAGCATGTACAAGGTTTGGATTCAATCTCAGTGCCTTAAGAACAAAATGATGTACATTCTAGAACAATATTCAAAGACAGGATGTTTTCAATTCACTGGCCAAAAGAATAAAAAACTAGCTAAATTGATATAAAGTTTACCACCAAAAAGGAAAGTAAGGTTAAGTTCATTGAAGAAGTAATAGTGGTTGCTTGGATTAGATGTAAAAAGTTGGCAAGGGAGTAGAGGCTAGAATAACAATGTAATACATTTTGGGGCCTTGACTTGAATTTAACTATATGACAACTAAGACATTTCTGAACTAAAAAATGACTTTGAAGCTTGTTTCTCCACATTTTCCAAAATTTACTATCTCTAGTTGAAACTGGGTCAGATGAAATTAACGGTAATTACAACTGCTTAAAGATAAAGCCAGGCACTGGTGGCTCACATCTATAATACTAGCTACCCAGGAAGCTGAGATCTGAGGATCGCAGTTGGAAACCAGCCCAGGCAGCAAAGTCCGTGAGACTCTTTTCTCCAATAAACCAGAAAACTGGAAGTGGCACTGTGGCTAAAGTGGCAGAGTGCTAACCTTGAGCTTAAGAGCTAAGGGACGGTGCCCAGGCCCACAGTTCAAGCCCCATGACCAACCCCCCCTCCCTCCAAAAAAAAAAAAGTCACCCTGTTGAGAATACTATTGGATAGATCAGTTTTCTGGTAATGAATCCTTAGTTTGATCACTCATGAGCTAAAGATTTTTTGTGTGTGTGTGTGCTAGTCATGAGGCTTCAACTCAGGGCCTTGGGCACTGTCCTTGCTCCTCTGTGCTCAAGGCTAGTATTCTACCACTTGAGTCACAGTGCCACTTCCAGCTTTTTCTGAGTAGTTTATTGGAGATAAGAGTCTCATGAACTTTTCTGCCTTGGGCTGGCTTCAAACTATGATCCTAAGATCTTAGCCTCCTGAGTAGCTAGGATTACAGAGGTGAGCCACTGGAGCTCAGCAAGATTAAGATTTTAAATATCAACTGTACTTACTAAGGAAACAGCTCAAACGTAGAGTTCATGCCTTGTACATGTAAGCTGTACTCTGTTTTTTAAAGATTAGAGAGGCGTATAAAGCTGGAAGTAGAGGTGTGGCTCAGATGGTAGAGCACCAGCGGTGGGCAAAAAAAGCCAAGTGAGAGTACAAGGCCCTAGTATAAGCGTGCATACGCATACACACACACACACACACACAAGTTTATTTTAATACAAGTAACAGGAACTAGGGAAAGGAGCCAAAGATTTGTGAGGCAAAAGTTGGTTAATTATAAGGAAATGAAACACTGCAATTCCAAATGATATGATCTAGGAAGGAGAAACTTAACTAAACAAAGACTGCTTGAGGGCCCATAATACAAACAGAAACTTAAGCATCTTAAGGAATAAAGAGGAGAAAATTAGTACATGATCATATTAGATGAGAAGGAAGGGCTGAAGCAGATGACATTAAAGGATAATGCAGACTATGCAACAAAACTGGATGTGAAGCCGGGCGCTGGTGGCTCATGCCTATAATGCTAGCTACTCAGGAGGTTGAGATCTGAGGATCTTGGTTCAAAGCCAGACCTGGCAGGAAAGTCCGTGAAACTCTTATCTCCAATAAACCACCAGAAAACCGGAAGTGGCACTGTGGCCCAAGTGGTAGAGTGTCTTGAGCTGAAGAGCTGAGGGACAGCGCCCAGGCCCAGAGTTCAAGGCCGACAACTGACCACCCCCCCCCCCCAAAAAAAAACAAAAAAAACTGGATGTGAGGAAAAACAATAAGGGACTTATAAATGATTTCTAAAAAAAAAAAGTACTTTTAGGGCTGGGAAGGTGGCTCAGTGGTAGAGTGCTTGCCTTGCATGCCTGGGGCCCTGGGTTCGATTCCTCAGCACCACATAAGCAAAAAGAAAAAAGCCAGAAGTGGCGCTGTGGCTCAAGTGGTAGAGCGCTAGTCTTGAGCTGAAGAGCTGAGGGACAGCGCCCAGGCCCAGAGTTCAGGCCCCACGACCGGACCCCCAAAAAAAAACCAACAACAAAAAATGTACTAGTGTTGGCTCACGTATATGGCTCAAGTGACAAAACACTTTCTAACAGCATAAGACTGAGTTCAAATCTCAGTACTGGAAAATAAAAATGTACTTTTATTTTGTTATGGGACACAGAGTCTGGGTGTTGTCCTGGGCTTTTTTGCTCAAGGCTAATGCTCTTATACTTTGAGCCACATCTCTACTTCCCATTTTTTAGGTGGCTATTTACAGATAAGAGTCTCATAGACTTTCCTGCCTGGGCTGGTTTTGAACTACCATCCTCAGACCTCAGCCTCCTGAGTAGCTAGAATTACAGGTGTGAGCCACTAGCACGTAGCTAAAAATGTATTTTGATTGAAACTATATCTCTAAATGACTTACATTCTAAGACACTAAAATAAATAATTCAAATCACTCTGGGACTATTAACTATATTTGGGAACTCTTGGAGAATAGGACAGTAAAACAATGTTATGACATCTCAGAAACTGATATAAACTCTATTTTTAGGTGTGGTTAAACAGCAAAGGAAATAAAACCATGCCTAAACACAATGTGCAACTGCTGTGAAAATAAAATAATCGTTTAGCTACATATCAGCAGCTCACAAATGTAACCTTAGCTACTCAGGAAGCTGAAGCTGAAGGACTAAGATTTGAAGCCAGTCTGAGCAGAAAAGTTTGATACACTCCATCTCCAAAACAACAATCAACACAAGAAAATATGTTGGAAATGATCTGTACAACTGGGGTGGGGGTGGGGATGGTTAGGGGAAAGGAAAGAGGGAGAATGAGGGAGGGGGTAACAAATTAGACAAGAAATGTACTCACTCCCCCATGGTATAACCCCTGCTTTCACTGTATTTGATGCTGGTATAATTTGTGGAGGGGAAGGGAAAAAATAAATCGTTTAAATAGGGATACAGGTGGACCCATTGCAACAATACGTTCAAGTTGTCATGTTGAAAAACGAACTTTACAACTTTGGTGGGGGGGCGGGAAGATTGGGTGGGGGAGGAGGGGGAGGGATGGGAAGGGATGGCAAGGGAAACAAAGGAGGAGGCTACAATGCTTGATAAGAAATGTACTCATTATCTTGCCCATGTAATTGTAACCCCTCTGTACAGTATTTTCATAAAAAGAAGAAAAAAAAACAGGGCTGGGAAGGTGGCTCAGTGGTAGAGTGCTTGCCTTGCATGCATGAGGCCCTGGGTTCAATTCCTCAGTACCACATAAGCAAAAAGAAAAAAGCCAGAAGTGGCACTGTGGCTCAAGTGGTAGAGCGCTAGCCTTGAGCTGAAGAGCTGAGGGATAGCGCCCAGGCCCAGAGTTCAGGCCCCATGACCAGACCCTCCCAAAAAAAGAAAAAAAAAAAGAAATGTACTCACCTCACTATCTTATTTATGTAACTGTAACCCCTCTGTATATTACCCTGACAATAAAATTTAAAAATAAATTAAAAAAACACAAAACCCCCAAAACAACCAGCAAAAAGCAGGGTTAGAGGTGTGGTTCATTTGGTAGAGTACCAGCTTAGCTAGTAAAAAGCTCCAAGTTCAAACTTAAGTACTGCTCCTACCCTCCCACAAAAAAGAAAAAAAAAATATTTAAAAAGCTCATCATGATGCTTTTGCAGATGTGATGGAAGGTAAGTCAGATTTATTTATCTCCCTCTCTTGCCTGGTCCTGGGGCTTGAACTCTGGGCCTGGGTACTGTCCCTGGGCTCCTTTTTTGTTTAAGGCTAGCATTCTACCACTTGAGCCATAGCACCACTTCTGGCTTTTTCTGTGATAAACTGGAAATAAGACTTTGCTACCCAGGTTGTCTTCGAACCGTGATCCTCAGATTTCAGCCTTCAGCTAGGATTACAGGCATGAGCCATAGGTGCTTTTTTTTTTTGTCAGCCGTGGGGCTTGAACTCTGGGCCTAGGCGCTGTCCCTAAGCTTGTCAGCTCAAGGCTAGTACTCTACCACTTGAGCCACAGCACCACTTATGGTTTTCTAGTGGTTAATTGGAGGTGAGAGTCTCATGGCCTTTCCTGCTCAGGCTAGGTTTGAACCATGATCCTCAGATCTCAGTCTCCTGAGTAACTAGGATTACAGGCATGAGCCACTAGTGCCCGGCTCATAAATGAAATTTTTATGAGAGTCTGAAGGTAGAAATGAAGAGCAATCTAAGTACATTCTGAAGGTGGAGGGTGCTGGGCATCCCTGTAGCTCATACTTTCTATTAGTGGTTGGCCAGCTTGCATCCAGATACGAGGAGATGCCAGACTCTAGCTTCCCCCAATTTCTCTTCTCATGAAGAGGACCAGATTCTTTTGCAGTATGCCTGTCAGTGAAATATATGGTGGTGAGAGGCAGTCATGGGTCCCAGTTTGTCTTGGTAGATTTCAGTTTGTCCCTATTCTCCATGGTTTCATGTCATCATTGCCTCCTTCCCACTGCACTGTTGACTTGAAATAGTTTCAGGATCACTCATAGCAGTGAGGTAGCAGGCTTTCATAAACTCCTACTAGTTCTCTCTTACACATGTAGAATAGAACTTCCTTAAGAAAGTTTTGAAAAACATTAATGAAACAGTTCTATGTTATACAAATAAGAAATCAAAAAAAGGCCAGCAAAAGGTTAATATGGAAGAGGATTACAGATAGTTTTATTAGGAGTTATCTATGCATAATAGATAATATGCTTCAATAATGACCAGGGAGATGGTTCATAAGGTTATGAAATTATCATAAGATGTAATGAAGTCAGGGGTCAGCATTAAAAAGGGCAAGAGGGAAGCTAGGCATAGTGGCTCATACCTATAATCTTCAATTATTTGGAAGGCTGAGATGTGGGGTGGGGGGTGGGGGGAAGAGGATCATGGTATGAGGTCAACCTAAACAATGAACCCTGAAGAACCCATCTCAACAGAAAAATCTTTTTGTTTCTGTTTATAATGTTTTATTGTATATAAAGAGGCTGCTAAATAGAAAAAATCTTTGTGTACAAACAACCATGAAGGAAATGTGCATAAACACAAATCAACCCCCCCCCTCCGCCCCGAAATCTACAAAAGTACCACACACTGAAGATTCTATTTTTCTTACTGTAACAGCCTGAAATCTATCCGTTTGCATTACAAAACAGCCAAAAAGGACAGACAGGATGACCTGATTTCCAAAGGTGGCAAAATAGTGTAAGAATCTCTTGAATCCTAACTTGATCACACAGAGGGATTCTAGGAATTGACTTATGGACAATTTTTTTCTTCAAACAAACCAATACACAAGCACTATTGTCATAGGACCTAGGATTAGGAGCACATGGGAATAGAACTACAAAAAAAGCTAATTTACTTTAAATTGTTTACTATGGAGACAAAGAATAAACAAAAACTCAAAATAGAAATTAAGAATTGAAAGTAAAAAGCTGAAAATACAAGCCTTTATATTACAGTACATACAATTACATAATTTATTAAAATTAATATAATACATAAATATTAAGAATAGTCACTTTTAGATTCAATAATTACTTCAAATAGAGAAATTCAACAGAAAAATCTTGTTGTGACAGAAGCATCTGTCATCCCAGCTATATGGGAAATATAAATAGGACTATAGTTCAGGCTGGCCCTGGTAAAAATTGAGACTCTATCTCAAAAATAATCATAGTAGGGGCTGGGAAGTTGGCTTAGTGGTAGAGCGCTTGCCTTGCATGCCAGAGGCCATGGGTTCGATTCCTCAGCACCACATGAGCAAAAAGAAAAGCCGGAAGTGGCGCTGTGGCTCAAGTGGTAGAGCGTTAGCCTTGAGCTGAAGAGCTGAGGGACAGCGCTCAGGCCTAGAGTTCAGGCCCCACGACCGGACCCAAAAAAACAAACAAAAATAATCATAGTAAGCACGGCACAGGTGGCTCACACATGTTATCCTAGCTACTCAGAAGCATAAGATCTCAGGATTGTGGTTCAAGCCAGCCCAGGCAGAAAGTCCATGATACTTGTAGCTCCAACTAACTACTTAAAGAAAAAAAAAATGCTGGAAGTGGAGCTATTGCTTAAGTGGTATAGTGCTAGCAAAAAGCTCAGGGACAGTGCCTAGGCCCTGAGTTCAAGCCCCAGGATTGGTATTAAAAAAAAAAACAACAAAAAAACCCAGAGCAATAAAGGGCTAGAGGTATGGCTCACGCAGTAGAACTTCTGTTTAGCAAGTGTGAAGTCAAACCTCAGTACTGCCAATAAAAGGAGCATGAGGCAAGAATTTGAAACTGTTTTAATAAATTAGAGAAGTACAAATGTACAAACAGAAATTTTAAATATTCAGGAAAAATTAAAGATACAAGATGTAGAAATCAATGATCATTTATGAATATAACTAACACACTGAGAATTACAGTAGATATTAAGCACAATGAACACCAAAAGCTAAAAAAGCCAACTGAAAACTCAAAGCAGCCAAAGAATCTTGCTATACAGTTTGCATATGGAAGACAGAAAACTTTGGGACATTTATTAAGGATTAATGATGGATTATGAAAGGTACATAAGGTAGAGGTTCTTGACAATTTTGCGGACTAGGACTCAAATTATTTTGCATGTTTATTAGATAACAGAGTTAATTTGGTATTACCTTAACAGGTAATAAACTACACTAAAACAAATCACGCTAAATAACCCATGCTACAAAATAACAATGAGAAAAATCACAATTACCTTTCAAATAGAATCAAATAGGATTTATGAGAGCTGCATGATTTGTGGTATGTTAAAACTAGTTTCTTAAGCTTCATTGTATTTCATGCTATTCCAGATTTCAGGCTGCTATTAAACCAGTCCATGGGAAAGTGAAAGACCTACCTGTGCACTCCCTCCCCAAAGTGCCTGATGAGTTACTATAACAAGAGATATCTTAAGGGTTGTGAAGGCAGAAGTATGAGGCAAGGCAGCAGCAGAGCCCACTTGATTCAACCCTGCCAGTGACTACAGGTTCAAAAGAGGAAAAGACATACGCAGCACTGTCAGCCAGGTAGATCTGACTAGTGCAATTAGAAAAGAAAAGGTTTTGATAAATTGTCAATGGTTTACTGACATATTAATAAGCTCAAAGAAGAATATGCTGCAAGCAGGGGGTGGGGGTAGAGGGTGGGGGGTAACTCCCATCATTTATACAACAGTTTATCTGCCAGTATAATTCAGGATATTCATAATAACACATTAAGAATTAAGAGGTATGACCTTATGCAGAAAGAAGCCAGAGAACATTAACATTTTTAGCAACAGGTTTGAAACTAATGAGTCTTCTGCTATTCCTATGGTAAGAGAAACAAATACAGCCAAAGACCTCATCTGGAGCAGATTGGCATGAGTCAACAGTACTTTTTTTTTAAGTAATAATCCAAATGGGATTTAGTATGATGCAATTTTCTGGCTCTAATGTGGGAAATCAGGACATGTAGATTCTGCTTCACATCTTAAAAGACCAATGTTTTTTTCTTACCTCCCAGTAGTGGCTTGAATTCAGGGCCTGGGCACTGTTCCTGAGTTTCTTTTGTTCAAGGCTAGCACTCTACACAGCGCCACTTCCAACTTTTTCTGTACATGTGGTACTGAGGAATCTAACTCAGGGCTACATATATGCTAGGCAAACACTCTACCACGAAGCCACATTCCCAGCTCCCCCCCTCCCATTTTTATTACCTTCTCTCTTTTTTTTTTTTGTCAGCTGTGAGGCTTGAACTCAGGGCCTGAACACTGTCCCTAGGCCTCTTTGTGCTCAATGCTAGCACTCTACCACTTGAGCCCTAGTGCCACTTCCAAGAAGACCAGAATTTAATTTCTGCTTCTGTGAAATTTTAGATGATCCTTAAAAGGGAAAAGTACAATTTCCCTTTTTTATCTTTTTTCTTTTATCAATATTAAAATTAGTTAGATATATTAAAGATACTAACGGAGTCTACTGTATATAAAAATACTTATTGGGACTGGGAAGGTGGTTCAGTGGTAGAGTGCTTGCCTTGCATGCATGAAGCCCTGGGTTCGATTCCTCAGCACCACATAAGCAAAAAGAAAAAAGCTGGAAGTGGCGCTGTGGCTCAAGTGGTAGAGCGCTAGCCTTGAGCTGAAGAGCTGAGGGACAGCGTGCAGGCCCAGAGTTCAAGCCCCACGTCTGACAAAAAAAAAAAAAAAAGAGCATGGAGGGCTGGGAAGGTGACTCGGAGGTAGAGTGCTTGCCTCATATGCATGAGGCCCTGGGTTCCATTCCTCTGTACCACATAAGCAGAAAAAGCCAGAAGTGGCACTGTGGCTCAAGTGGTAGAGCACTAGCCTTGAGCTGAAGAGCTGAGGGACAGTGCCCAGGCCCAGAGTTCAGGCCCCATGACCAGTTAAAAAAAAAAAAAAAAAGAGCATGGGGAATAATCTTGAAATTTAAGTATTTAAAGACTGTGTGTATAAATAAGGGCTTTAGAATAACTGTCTCCACTGTTGTAACTGATGTTGTTTTCCAGGATGTGAGGACATGTGTGACACTTCTTATATCTGCACGGTGTGGTAAAGCGGGATCTTGTAAAGTAAAACAAAACAAAACAAAACCCCTATGCCAGGTATTATCAGTAGCTTAAAACACATAATAAAGTAGAATGCCAGATATACAGTTGTACAGTCAGTGTCATGGGATAAGGGATTTTAATTCACAGAATGCCAAACTAATGATCAATAAAGTACACCTGGAATTAGAAAAACATTAAAAAAAACTATTACAGTATGGCAGTATCTCAGTGTGGATATTTTTCTCTGGGAAACACTGACAAAGATACAAGGCTCACAGCAGCATGATTCTGGAACATGATAAGGCAATGTAAGGAAACACTTCTAGTCATCTGTAAAGCATACAGTAATGATGCCCCTCCCCATTGTGTTTTATGGTATTTAGGTCATTTCCAAACCAATAGTGTACAGTAGCCATTTTTCAATATCTAGACACAGCAATGTAACAATTTTTTGCATGAACTCTTACCACTAACAAGGCACTATCATCAGTGTGCTGAGACCTTCTGGATGGAAAGGGACACTAGAGAGGTGAAGAAAAATGAAGCAATGTCAAAAACAAACTGGGGACATGGTGATGCATTTCACAAATACGCATATAAGAAAAGCAACATATGAAGACATACTCTAGGAGATGCTGGACATACAGGACCATAATTACAGTCATCTGCATTCATCCATCATACTGGTGAGTAAGCTGATTCTGAGAACTGAAAGAGTTTAGACAACTTCAAATATAATATGACTACCTAAAAACTTCTAGAACAAGGAGCAGAGAAACTCTCTGTTCACAGAAGAGAAAGATCAAGTATAGTTGCAGCAATTACATAAAGAATTTATGAAGCTGGGCACCAGTGGCTTATACTTGTAATCCTAGCTACTTAGGAGCCTGAGATCTGAGGATTGTGGTTTGAAGCTAGCCTGGGCAAAAAAGTCCCTGTGAGACTCTTATCTCCCAATTAACCACTCAAGAAGGCAGAAGTGGTGCTATAGCTCAAGTGGTAGACTGCCAGCCTTAAGCTCAAAGATGCTCAGGGACAGCACCCAAGCCCTGAGTTCGGATCTCACAACTGATCAAAAAAATAAAAAAATAAAAAAGAATTTATGAATCAGACACAAATTAAAAAAATAAGCCCTTGCCAGGTGCTGGTGGCTCTTGCCTGTAATCAATCCTAGCTACTCAGGAGGCTGATGTCTGAGGATCATGGTTCAAAGCCAGCCTGGGCAGGAAAGTCCATGAGACTCTTATCTCCAATTAGCCACCAGAAAACTGCAAGTGGCACTGTGGCTCAAGTGGTAGAGTGCTCAACTCATTAAGCTTTGGTTTTTAAGGGTTAGTGAAGAAGTATTACTATGTAAAGGAAAAGACAGTAAAAATACTTTACTGACTTAGGTTTTTTACAATGTGTGAAGTCTGTACATAAGGACAATTAATTATTGTATGTCCAATAAGATTTATTTAAAACACCTTGTTATTAATAATTTGAAACATGTGTATATATATTTTATTTATTTTTTGCCAGTCCTGGGGCTTGAACTCAGGGCCTAGGCATTGTCCTTGAGCTTTTTTGTTCAAGGCTAGCACTCTACCACTTGAGCCACAGTGCCACTTCTGGCTTTTTCTGTTTATGTGGTACTAAGGTATAAACCCAGGGCTTCATAATGCTAGGCAAGCACTCTATCACTAAGCCACATTCCCAGCCATATATATATATATATGGCTGGGAATATATATATATATATTTTTTTTTTTGGGGGGGGGGGGTCAGTCATAGAGTTTGAACTCAGAGCCTGGACACTGTCTCTGAGCGTTTTTGCTCAATCACTTGGAGCCACTTCTGTTTTTCTGGTGGCTAATTAGAGATAAGAATCTCATATACTTTTCTGCTCACTGGTGGCTTTGAATCATGATCCTTCTTTTTTGTTGTTGTTGTTGGTCATGGGGCTTGAACTCTGGGCCTGAGTGCTGTCCCTCAGCTCTTCAGCTCAAGGCGAGCGCTCTACCATTTGAGCTACAGCGCCACTTCCGGAGTTCTAGTGGTTTATTGGAGATAAGAGTCTCAAGGACTTTCCTGCTGTGGCTGGCTTTGAACCAGGATCCTCTTATCTCAGCTTCCAGAGTAGCTAGGATTACAGGTGTGAACCTCAGGTGCTCAACCAATTTAAAACATTTTAATTAATTAATTTTTTAGTGTTTTATTTATTTTTTATTGTGAAAATACTGTACAGAGGGGTTACAATTACATGGGCAAGACAATGAGTACATTTCTTATCAAGCATTGTAGCCTTCCCCTTTGTTTCCCCTTCCCATCCGCCCCCCCCGCCCCCCCCAATCCTCCTCGCTCCCCCGGCCCCCCCCCCAAAACATTTTATTTTATTTCTCCCCACCTCGTAAAACATTTTAAACAGTATACTTTCTCATACCAAAAAAACTTGTGTGCCAACTTATGCTGAAAATTGATGCTGTAAAAGCCTCACATTAGCTTTGCAAACAATGTTTTATATATAAAGTCTAAATTCAAACAAAATGGTATCTGTAGATTTTTAGGAAAAACATCATAAATTGAAAAAACAGAAAAGGCAAAAAAAGGACAAAATCAACTATGATCAAAATGTTCACTTAGTATGTCTCATTTTTGCTGATCCAATTGGATACATTTTAAAAGGTAAAGCAATTCATTTTAATGATTTATTTATAATGGCATTATAAAGTTTATAGCTACAAAGTACAATGTGTAATATTTAAATAAACACTGAAGTTGAACTACTCTGGGAAGATTCCTTTTTTTTAAAGGCCAGTACCATCTATGTGCATCAGCCATAGTTCTCAGGATTCTCTCTCGCTACACAGTGTATTTTGAAATGGCTGCAAAGGGGATGATGCTTCTGGGAAACTTGGGGAAGTAAATATTATCTCTAGATAGACATGCATAAGCTCTTAGCCTGTATCTTACTCTCCTGAATTATAGGACATGTCAACATTATCACATCTGTGTACTCAGTGTTTTTCAATGTATTCCCAGAATATTTCAACTCTAATTTCACACAAAAAATTGAACTTGAGATCAAATTTTTGTGTGAAAATTAGTTTAGTCTTGTGTGTGTGTGTGTGTGTGTGTGTGTGTGTGTGTGTGTGCGCGTGCGCGCGCGCGCACATGCGCGCGCAACAGTCCTAGGGTTTGAACTCAGAGCCCAGGTACTGTCTCTGATCTTTTTGGCTCAAGGCTAACACTATACCACCTGAGCCATAGTTCCACTTTCAACTTTTTTTGGTACTTAATTGGAGAGTGTCATGGACTTTCCTGCGCAGGCTGGCTTGGAATAGCAATCCTGACACCTCAGCCTTCTGAGTAGCTAGGATTATAGGTGTGAACTACCAGCGACTAACTTATGGTGCTTTAGAGGAAAAAAAAAAGCAGTATTCTAATCACTGAAAACACAATAAATCACATGCAAAACATTTCATTTCAATCCCAAAGAAAAAGTGATTACACAGACTTACCTCACTGTCTATGGGGGATAGACTTTTTTGTGGACTTTGTGATGTTTTTTGCTATAAAAAAAAAAAGTTGGTTAGAATCTGGAATATAGAAAATGATCATTTCTCTCCTGAAATAGTCACACTAATTTCTTGTACATACTGTTTTTCTAGAGCTACTTACTAGTCAAGATGTTTTCCTCTCACTTGAATATCTCAAATAAAATATCTTAAATATCTCAAATATCTTAAATAAATATCATGATCTTTGTTATGAGACTACAGACTAAGGAAATGGTGGTTGTATAGGAAAGTGTTATGTCTAATAACAACTTGCTAGTTCCAAAAGTAAGATAAAGTTAGGTGTTGGTGGCTCACGCCTGTGATCTTAGCTACTCAGGAGGCGGAGATCTAAGGACTGCAGTTCAAAGCCATGAGACTCCAACTAACCACCAACTTCCAGTGGGGCAGTAGCTTAAGTGGTAGAGTGCTAGCCCTGAGGAAAAAGAGCTCAGTCAGTACCTAGGCCCACCTAAAAAAAAAAACCCAAGGTAATAAATTCTATTAGTTTACAAGTAGTCAAAATGAATACTTCAATGAAAACAATAAAAAGTGTTTACTATACATAGAAGCACAACTTGCCTTGACGAAGTCCAGCACAGCATCCCTTTGAATCTGTTTGGTCCGTATTTTCTCCTCCTCATACTGTAGGGCAGCAAGCTGGGCCTCTCTCCGAGTGCGCTCTACTAGTTGTTCTCTTCTCCCATGAAGTTCCAGGTCTGTATGTGAAAGCTGGAACAACGGTATCGTTTTGCAACTTAACATCTCTCCACTGCTGACTCAAGTAACTTACTTTACAGTCACATAGCATTTCTTTAAATGTGTTTACTACTAATCTTCCCATGTTTACACTCTTCTTATAAAACTACCATTGTAGGAAAACATTTTCTTTTCCTCTCTCTCTGGTTTTTCTTTTTTTTGGTCGGTCATGGGGCTTGAACTCTGGGCTGGGCACTGTCCCTCCTCAGCTCTTCAGCTCAAGGCGAGTGCTCTACCACTTGAGCTACAGTGCCACTTTCAGTTTTCTGGTGGTTTATTGGAGATAGGAGTCTCATGGTCTCTCCTGCCCGGGCTGGCTTTGAACCGCGATCCTCAGATCTCAGCCTCCTGAGTAGCTAGGATTATAGGCGTGAGCCACCAGCGCCCGGCTCTCTCTGGTTTTTCTGAGGCTGGGTCTTATTATGTAGCCCAAGTTGGCCTTGAACACATTGTCGAGGATAGCCTCAAACTTCTAATCCTGCCTCAGTCTCCCAAGTGCTAGAATTAGAGGTATGCATCACACACAACTTATTTATTTTCTGTGTGGTGTTTAATACACTGTTAGCAAGTATCATGTGCACTTATCTGTCAACTAATGTCAACTTAAGTGCTATAAAAGAAAACTACTTTAAAAAAATGAATAGGGACTAGGAAGGTGGTTCAGTGGTAGAGTGCTTGCCTTGCATGCATGAGGCTCTGGGTTCTATTCCTCAGCACCACATAAGTAGAAAAAGCTGAAGTGGCACTGTAGCTCAAGTGGTAGAGTGCTAGCCTTGGGCTGAATTACTGAGGGACAGAGCCCAGGCCCAGAGTTCAAGCGCGCGCACGCACACACACACAGACACACACAGACACACAGACACAGACACACACACACACACACACAAAATGCAAATTAAAACAATGAAAATAAATAAGTGAATCTATTAACAATTACCTGATAGTGACTTGGTGACAGCAACAAAAGAGAAGATGGCTCAACTGGAACCCTGATTTTTAAAAAAAGAAACATTTGATAACAAGATAGACATCTAGAAACAAGCAACATTTGTATTGTTAATGTAACGTTCAATCAATCAATAAGCAAGCTGTCTAGTTAGCAATGACAGAATAACTTCATTTTCTAAACCTGAGCTCACTTCATTAAATTAAACCACAGGAATAACTGATGTTTCCAACTCATGTTTCATGAGATGATACCACTGATTATTCTGTAGCTAGCTAACAACTGTCTGCATGAGCCAACACTAACAATACAGGGATAGCTGAGATCACTTTACAAAGGCTATCATTTCTTTATAACATACATATTATCTGCTTTCCTACCATGATTCAAACAAGGCACATGTAAGTTGAGATCTTTTTATATAACAATCTACTTTTATCAAAAGAAACCTGAAATAACATAACCTGTTAATTGTACTTGTAAAGTATTTCTACTCTTTTTTTGTTTGTTTTGGTGCTGGTGCTGGTCCTGGGACTTGAACTCAGGGCCTAAGTGGTATCTCTGAGCTTTTTTTTTCTTTTTTTTTGAGGGTGGGGGGCGGTCGTGGGGCCTGAACTCTGGGCCTGGGCGCTGTCCCTCAGCTCTTCAGTTCAAGGCTAGCACTCTATCACTTGAGCCACAGCGCCACTTCCGGCTTTTTTCTTTTTGCTTATGTGGTGCTGAGGAATCAAACCCAGGGCCTCATGCATGCAAGGCAAGCGCTCTACCACTGAGCCACCTTCACAGCCCCTTGAGCTTTTTTTTTTCAAAGCTATCACTGTACCACTTGAGCCACAGCACCACTTATTGCTTTTTTTGGGTTATTAATTAGAGACAAGAGTCTCATGGACTTTCCTCTCTAATGTGGCTTTGAACTGTGATTCTTAGATCTTAGCCTCGAGTAGCCAGAATTACAGGCATGAACCACCAGCATCTGATAGCATTTCTATTCTTATTTTCAACTGATAAACCTATTTTAATAATGAAAATAAAGATTCTGTTCATTTTCATTTTTATTATTTTGTCAGTCATGGGGCTTGAACTCCCAGGGCCTGGCCGCTGTCCCTCAGCTCTTCAGCTCAAGGCTAGCACTCTGCCACTTGAGCCACAGCGACACTTCCGGTTTTCTGGTGGTTTATTGGAGATAAGAGTCTCACAGACTTTTCCTGCCTGGGCTGGCTTTGAACCTGATCCTCAGATCTCAGCCTCATAAGTAGCTAGGATTATAGGCATGAGCCATCGGCGCCTGGCTTAATTTTTATTTTTATTGGTTGTGGGCTAGAACTCAGGGCCTAGGCACTGAGCTTTTTCATTCAGCACCACTTCCTGATTTTTCTTTCTTTCTTTTTTTTTTTTGTTGGTCGTGGGGCTTGAACTCTGGGCCTGGGCGCTGTCCCTCAGCTCTTCAGCTCAAGGCGAGCGCTCTACCACTTGAGCTACAGCGCCACTTCCGGTTTTCTGGCGGTTTATTGGAGATAGGAGTCTCACGGTCTCTCCTGCCCGGGCTGGCTTTGAACCGCGATCCTCAGATCTCAGCCTCCTGAGTAGCTAGGATTACAGGCGTGAGCCACCAGCGCCCGGCTCCTGATTTTTATTCTGAAGAAAAAGATGAGCCAGTAACTAGTGAAGCTGAAAAATCAATATATACATATTTAATTACACAGTTTTTAAATACATACCTACTACGTGCCAATTACTTTAGGTACTAAATCACAAGAACCTAGAAGCTGGGAACTGGTGGTTCATGCAATTCTAGCTACTCAGGAGGCTGAAATCTGAGTATCATGGCTCAAAGCCAGTCAGGGCAGGAAAGTGCATAGGGTTCTCATCTCCAACTAACCAGCAAAAAGACAGAAGTAGAATTTTGACTCAAGTGGTAGGCACTTAGTTTTGAGCAAAAAATCCTCAGGAATAGTGCCCCAGTACTAGTGTGCAGGTGTGTGCATGGTTGTGTGCACACCCCCTACCACCAAAAAGACAAAACAACCTTAAAATAACAGCTCTAGGGCTGGGAAGTTGGCTCAGTGTTAGAGCGCTTGCCTTGCATGCCTGAGGCCCTGGATTCGATTCCTCAGCACCACATAAGCAAAAAGAAAAAAGCCAGAAGTGGCGCTGTGGCTCAAGTGGTAGAATGCTCGCCTTGAGCCGAAAAGCTGAAGGACAGCGCCCAGACCCAGAGTTCAAGCCCAACAACCGACCAAAAAGAAAAAAAAAGAAAGAATTGTGTTCATTACCTGACTTATGAAATAGTAATTCCTCTATACAACACCTTAATAATAAAAGTAAATTAAAAAAAAAACAGATGACTGACAGGGCACTAGTAGCTCATGCCTATAATCCTTAGCTACTCAGGAGGCTAAGATCTAAGGATCACCATTCAAAGACAACCAAGGCAGGAAAACTTATGAGACTTTTATCTCCAATTAAGCACCAAAAAAGACAGAAGTGGAGCTGTGGCTCAAGTGAGTGAGCACGAGTCTTGAAAACAAAAGCTTGGGGACAGCACCCAGACCCTGAGCTCAAGCCCCAAAGGAGAAAAAAACTTAGGAAAATCTTTAAACTCTCCTTATGCATGAATCCACACATTATTGGCACAAAATTTCATTGCTATTAACTACCTTCAAATCAGTTAACTGTAAAGTAATGGTTTAGGTAATTTGCATTTTGGAATCAAATCAAATCAATTGTAGTTCGTTTTTATGATACAATCACAAAACACACTGTCACCCAATTTTAAGTAAATGATTACAGTTTCTAAACAACTTCATTATATTTGGTTGTACACAAACCAAAATTACTTCATTCTTCCTAATGAGTTTTAAGACAGAAGTAAAAAAATTGCTTGTTCAAACCTGTTTTGATGTGAGTATCTTCTCAGGTCTTCTGATTTTTGAAACTCCCTAATGGCTACTGGTTTTATTGGTGAACCCTAGAACAACAACAACAAAAGGTATAAATATATATCTAGAATACTGTGATTATATTATTAAACTATTTATACCCAACTTGGCATTTAGGAATTTGTATATTACTAAAAGATTATTTTAATAGAATCTTTAAGTGTAGGCTTTATGTTTAAAGGAATTGTAGCATGATGGCAGATGCCTATAATCACGGCACTTGAGAAGCTAAGGCAGGAAGATTGTGAGTTTAATGCCAATCTGGGCTATACAATGTAATAATACCCTGTCTCAAAACAAACAAACCAAAACAAAATGAAATAGCATTTCAGGCTATATTGCATACACTTTGATAAAATATAACCTAAAGACATATTATTTACAAAAAAAAGGTTTATTTCTCATTATACTATAAAAATGATCATGACTAAAAATAGTAAGATTTACTAAAAATAAGAAAGGACCTTTTCTTTTTGTTAGCCCTGGCTTAAACTCAGGGCCCAAGTGCCGTTTCTGAGCTCTTGAGCTCTTTTGCTCTGAGCCAAACTTTGAGCCACATCACCACTTTTCAGTTTTCTGGTGGTTAATTGGAGATATGAATCTCATAGACAGATTTTCCTGGCTGGGCTAGCTTCAAATCATGATCCTCAGATCTCAGCCTCCTCAGTAGCTAGGATTACAGACATGAGCCATCAGTGCCTGGCTAAGAAAGGAACTTATAAGTTCTCTATCTCAAGCTTCTACCTAGGACAGGAATTCCTCTATACCCTACACGAAGATTTGTTCAGTTTTTCTTGAACATATGGAGTAATAGTTTTCTGGGCAGATTATATCTTTTGCTCAGCTTTTTTACTCATGGCTAGCACTCTACCACTTGAGCCATGCCTTCATGTCTGGCTTTTTGCTTGTTATTTGGAGATAAAAGTTTTGAAGACTTAGCCCAGGTTGGCTTTGAAACTTGATCCTCAAATCTCAGCCTTCTGAGTTACTAGGATTATAGGCATGAGTCACTGACATCTGGAGGGCAGATTATTTATTGCTTTCACACTACCAAAAACTGTCTCTTGAGCTGGGAATGTGGCTTAGTTGTAGAGTGCCTAGTATGCATGAAACCCTGGGTTCGATTCCTCAGTATCACATAAACAGAAAAAGCTGGAAGTGGTGTTGTGGCTCAAGTGGTAGAGTGCTAGCCTTGAGCAAAAGAAGCTCAGGAACAGAGTTCAAGCCCCAGGACTGGCAAAAATAAACAACAACAATAAAAACAACTGTCTCTTATCAGTTATACAGATAGTCCTGGGATGTTGGCAGAACATCAATAAAGAGGTTATTTCTATGGTAAAATACAATGTCTAAATTTAAAAAATATTATTATCAACATAATTTATTTATAAAGTAAGAGGTAGAGGTCATTTTCAAAAGCATGACTGAAGAAAATGAAGCTGGCTTAAGTGATAGACCCATAGGATGAGAAATAGAATGATAAATCAAGGTATTACTGAAGTAGGGAAATTGGGTCTGGGTCAGTGCCATCTTGGCCACATGGTGGATGGTAAGATCTGGCATCTTGTCTTCATGGTTGGGGAAGGAGAAGCCCCATCTCCCAGGTGATAGGATGCCTGAATCGCTGGAGGCAGGGGTGGGGACCTGGATGATAGGCTACTAAACCTGACAGTCCAGTGCCTGGGACTCCAGTTTCCTGTGACCCTGCCCCCTGACCTGACCCTATTTAGGCTCAGATCAGCTCAGATACCATTACATCATGCCACATGTCTCTGTGTCTGTGTCCTGTCTCCTGTCTCTTCTCAGGTCACCATGGTATTCCACTTCAGCTCTCCATTGGAGCTGAATTGGTTTGTTGATATATTTTTTTGTTCTTTCTTTGCTCTTTGGCCTTCATGGCTAAGTTTCCTAAGTATACTTGCTGGCTACTGGTCTTTGAGACTGGTGTCCACCATACATACAGTCACCAGCCTTTTAATAAAGACTCCAAGATTTGATCTTTCAAAATGTGTCTTCTCCATTTTGTAGCTGTATAACACTACTTAAAAGCTACCAGAATGAGCTGGGCGCTGGTGGCTCACGCCTGTAATCCTAGCTACTCAGGAGGCTGAGATCTCAGGATCACGGTTCAAAGCCAGCCCGGGCAAGAAAGACCCTGAGACTCCTATCTCCAATAAACCACCAGAAAACCGGAAGTGGCGCTGTAGCTCAAGTGGTAGAGCGCTCGCCTTGAGCTGAAGAGCTGAGGGACAGCGCCCAGGCCCAGAGTTCAAGCCCCACGACTGACAAAAGAAAAAAAGCTACCAGAATGTGGCTTATTAGTAGAGTGCTTGCCTAGCATGCATCAGTATCACATAAACAGAAAAAGCTGGAAGTGGTGCTGTGGCTCAAGTGGTAGAACACTAGCCTTGAGCACAGAGAGGCTCAAGGATAAGTGCCCCAGCCCTGAGTTCAAGCTCTAGGACCAGCAAAAAAAAAGGTACCACAATATTTTGTCAAATGAGAATCTATAGATGCAATACAACTTTCCTTCCTTTTCTTTCTCTCTTTCTCCTTCCTTCCTTTCTTTTTTTTTGGGGGTCCAGTCGTGGGGCCTGAACTCTGGGCCTGGGCGCTGTCCCTTAGCTCTTCAGCTCCAGGCTAGCACTCTACTACTTGAGTCACAGCACCACTTCTGGCTTTTTTCTTTTTGCTTATGTGGTGCTGAGGAATCGAACCCAGGGCCTCAGGCATGCAAGGCAAGTGCTCTACCACTGAGCCAACTTCCCAGCCCCCTTTCTTTTCTTTCCTTCCTTCCTTCCTTCCTTCCCTCCCTCCCTCCTTCCTTCCTTCCTTCTTTCTTTTCTTTCTCTCTTTATTCCTTCCTTCCTTCCTTTCTTCCTTCCTTCCCTCCCTCCCTCCCTCCCATTCTGGGGCTTGAGCTCAGGGCCTGGGTGCTGTTCTGGAGCTTTTATGTTCAAGGTTAGTGTTCACTTGAATCACAGCTCCACTTCCAAGGTTTTTTTTGGTAGTTAATTGGAATTAAAGAGTCTCATAAGCTTTCCTGTCCAGGCTAGCTTCCAACTGCAATCTTCAGATCTCAGCTTCTTGAGCACCAGCATCTGGCCTACAATCTGAAATACTGAGAGAATAGTTTCTGACCATGTCATCTTGTTTATGCACAAATCCTAGTATTCTATCATTATTCACTATGTTGGTTTTATGATTTGGTATTTATCTAAAATAGCTGTAAGAAGTACATGGAATTTCTAAAATCTATATCATTGAGTCAATTTAAAAGTAAATATATATCATACTCTATTGATGCAGGAGTGGTCTATAGATGTAAGAGGCATTAAAATGAAATAATAGGAGCAATATCTCAAATAGGCTAGTTTTTTTAAATAATGTTTTAAACAGTATTCAGGAATTTAAAAAATGGTATTTTTTCACTGACTGTTAAGTCATCTGAAAATCCTGCATCATATTTTCACATGTTTCTCAATTTATGACAAAAAAATCATAAACAGATCTATGACACAGAATCATAAAAAACTGCCATAAATAATAGGTAGCTAGAACTTGAAAATATTATTATAAAAGAGCCAATATATGGGTTAAAGAAATGCAGAATTTTTCATAGTAGCATAATAAGTATTTTCAGGTTAAGTAGATATCCCCATTTATACAACTGAATTAATAATAAAACTATTAAAGAAAAAGGCCACAAGAAATGAAAATGGACATTTTTAAAGATAAGGCATTATTAAGCTGGGCACCAGTGGCTCATTCCTGTAACTTAGCTACTTAGAAACTGAGATCTGAGGATCACGATTCAAAGACAGCCTGGGCAGGATAGTCTGTTTGAGTGTCTTATCTGCAATTACCCACCAGAAAACTGGAAGTGGAGTTGTGGCTCAAAGTAGTACAGTGCTAGCCTTCAGCAAAAGGAGCTCAAAGATAACACCCAAGCCCTGAGTTCAAGCCCCAGGAACAGCTTATACACATAAAAATATGCTATTAATTTTATTGCAAAGTAGTTTCTCACTCCAGCAGAGAGGTGAAGAGACTGAACCAGAAGCACTTTCATCAATCATCTTGTCTACTGGTATTTCTGGGCTGCAGGATTTTATTTATACAATTTTAAATACAAGAGTATCTTTTGAACACCAATAAAAAATACTGGGTTCAAAAGCCCTTCAGTTAGGAAAACTCCAGAATCCCCTTTAAAAATTGATAACATGTCCCACTTGATGTGATGAATTCTTTATTTCTAGAGACTAAATACATCATTCTCCAAAAAGGCCCCAAAATGTCTCTCAAATAACCCGTTTAGAGCCTGGGATGAACTCCAGACATCAACAGCACACACACTAAAATGGAGCCATTTTATTACGCTGACTAGATACACTGAAGAATGCTATTCTACTCCAGCCCCTTAGGGAATTGGCAGAGATCCTGCAGTGGGCTGAATGCTCATTTGTTTTCTCCAGCAGTTCAACACTCCACTCATTGCAAGAGACACCCAAGAATTTTAATAGTGAACAATTTATATTCTGTTAACTTAGGATAAAAGAGTCAATATAATTAAGCTTATTAGAAATCGTCTTTGGGTTGGCTGTAGATTGGTTCACAAGTCAACTTTTTGGTTTATATCTTAATCAATTACCAATCATTAAACCATGATTTACTTGCTAGTAACAATAAGAAAGCAAAATGCAAAAAAAAAAAAAAAGAAAGAAAATACCAAAATTGCCAGAAAAACAAATCAAATCAAAGAAAACAGCACTGGAAAACATTATATTTCTTTGCATTTTCTTTCTTTTGGGGGGGGGGGGGGGTCCTGTCGTGGGGCCTGAACTCTGGGCCTGGGCGCTGTCCCTCAGCTCTTTAGCTCAAGGCTAACACTCTACCACTTGAGCCACAGCACCACTTCTGACTTTTTTTTGCTTATGTGGTGCTGAGGAATTGAACCAAGGGCCTCATGCATGCAAGGCAAGAGCTCTACCACTGAGCCACCTTCCCAGCCTGTTCATTGTATTTTCTTGAAAGGCTTTGGTTTACTCTTTAAAATTCTTTAATTTCTTCTCCAAAAATAATGAAATCTTTATTCTTACTCCAAAGTTAACCTAAGCTTGTTTGAGATTATTGTCTGACTTTCCGAATAAATCTGAAAAAAATCTAAGACTTAAAGTCAGAAGTGAACATGATAAAACAATCAGGCATAAAGTAACAAACCAGGAAAATGACCAAGATATATCTTGTTTTTCTAGGAAACAGCAGCATAGTTAGGTTTAAATGGTGCATACTACCTCATGAGAGATTCGCCGTTGTTCAATATAGGCCATAAACTGTGAACTGAGGCTGTCTGAGTCCAGAACCTTGCGTTGTCTAACCTCATCCTCTTCTTCTGCAGTACAGCTGTCAATGTAGTCGATCTGATCTAGGTCATGTTCCACTATACACAACACACACAGACATGGGGAAAAAAACATTCAAAGATCCTGAATAAAAGGCATTCATTTAAATTATTTTCTCTACTTCCCCATATGTTCTATTCTGAAAGTAGACAGAATGACAAGTTTAAATTATATAATCCTTCATTATTCAGTTTATAGTCACTCACAAATATAGGCTCTTGAAAAACCTTAGTTCTAATTCAGTAAAGAATGTATTTTAACTGTAATTACTAAAATATTCATCTTTAATATTTCATTTTACATTAAACATCTTTTCAGTGTTTTAGATAAGACAATTTGAGTTTATGAGTCAGAAAAGTCTAATTTTTAAAGAATGAAGGCTATATTTTCTTTTTTTTAAGCAACATATTTGTTTGCTGAATTCATTTTGATAATGCATTTTCTTTTTGTGTACTATCTAACTATTTATTACTTGGGATTAAATTCAGGGCCTCACCTCTGTTAGGCAAATGTTCTACCACTGAGCTATGCCTGGACCCTTTATTTTTTTGAAACTGAGTCTTGCTCCCTGTAACTCTGGCTGACCTAGAAGTCACTATGGTATCAAACTCACAATCCTCTTCCTGTCTCCAGCAGGGATAAAGGTATGCATCACCACATATGGTTGCATCTTCTTCTTTTTTTTTGGGGGGGGGGGGGGTCCGGTTGTGGGGCCTGAACTCTGGGCCTGGGCGCTGTCCCTCAGCTCTTCAGCTCAAGGCTAGCGCTCTACCACTTGAGCCACAGTGCTACTTCCAGCTTTTTTCTTTTTGCTTATGTGGTGCTGAGGAATCGAACCCAGGGCCTCAGGCATGCAAGGCAAGTGCTCTACCACTGAGCCACCTTCCCAGCCCTGGCTGCATCTTCTTTCCATGTTTGAGTTAAAGGTTTCATAATCATACTGGGGATCTGGCAGAAAGAAAACTTTATATGGTAACCTCAAAAGAAAGTAAAAGGCAATAAAAAAAAAAAAAAAAAGAAGAGGGTAGGAAGAAACTAGACTTTGAGACAGTTATTGACTACTATTTCCTTCCTATAACTGTAGTACAGTTTTCTTCCCCCCCAAACAAAAACCATGTTTAGAACAATGATTTTTCCCATTCACAAAATTATTTACTAGAGCCTAAAATTATAACTATTTTATAGCAATTTGGGAAAGGAAAAAAATGGTTTGAGGAATTTTTTCTTCTCTAGATGTTTCAGAGTAGAGAATCATAGAAACAAGATATAGCCATGTACCATTTCACCTGCTAAGTTTGAAATGCCCTATTATTTTTAAGTTTAAAGCTTAAGTTTTAATAACTAGTTAAAGTGGAATACATATGCTAGGAAAAACCTTTCTGCTAAAGTAGTTTCTCCAAAGATGCATTAAATTCTAAACATAATTGTATGATATCCCATAAACTGCTTAAAATCTGCAATTTCTGGGAACAGTAAATTTGGAGTTTATTTCTCAATCTAGTCTTCTGATTCCATTTTTATAAAATTTTTTATTGCAATTAATACTAAACATGAATTTTAGCCAGATGCCAGTGGCTTATGCCTAGAATCCTAACTACTCAGGAGACTAAGATCTGAAGATCGGGGTTCAAAGCCAGCCTAGGAAGGAAGATCTGTGATACTCTTATCTCCAATTAACCACCAAAAAGCCAGAAGCAGAGTTATGGCTCAAGTGGCAGAGCCTTGAACACAAGAGTTCAGGGACAGCATCCACTCCTCCTGAGTTCAAGCTCATAGTCTGGCTCCCCCACCACAAAAAAAGAAGAAAGAACAAATTTTGAGTTATTATTATTATTATTATCATCATCAGGCCTGGGCAGTCCTTGAGCTTCTTTTGCTCAAGGCTAGCACTTGCTCAACTCTACCATTTGAGCCACAGCGGCACATCTGGTTTTTTCTGTATATGTGGTACTGAGGAATCTAACCTAGGGCTTCATACATGCTAGGCAAGCACTCTACCACTAATCCACATTTCCAGCCCTTGAGTTATTATTAATAGCTAAAAGGATAAAAGGCTATGTCTACAACTATGTTAGAAACAAGGTTCATAAATGTATTTTGACAATGTGCTGCAATTTATTTAATCATTTATATTATGATCATTTCTCAAGAAAGCAACATCAACTTCTACTATCTAGATCAGTGCAGAAAAGCCACAACTGGCACCAGTTGCTCACATTTGTAAACCTAACTTCTCAAAAAGATGAGATCTGGGGAATCATGGCTCAAAGCCAGTCCAAGCAAGAAAGTTTGTGAGACTCTTTTTCTCCAATTAATCAGGAAAAAAGGAGAAGTAGAGTATCAGCCTGGAGTGAAAAAGCTAAGAGACTGGGCTGGGAAGGTGGCTCAGCGGTAGAGCGCTTGCCTTGCATGCCTGAGGCCCTGGGTTCGATTCCTCAGCACCACATAAGCAAAAAGAAAAAAGCCAGAAGTGGTGCTGTGGCTCAAGTGGTAGAGCACTAGCCTTGAGCTGAAGAGCTGAGGAACAGCGTCCAGGCCCAGAGTTCAGGCCCCACAACCGGACCCCCCCCAAAACAACAACAACAACAACAAAAAAACAAGACATCCAGACACTAGTGGCTCACGCTTCTAATACTAACTACTTAGGAAGCTGAGGTTTGAGGATATCAATTCAAAGCCAACCTAGGCAGGAAAGTTTATGAGATTATTACCTCCATTTAAACAGCAAAAAGCCTGAACGGTGGAGCTATGGCTCAAGTAGTAGAGTGCTAGCCTTAAGCGGAAAAGTGCTCAGGACTTCACACAGGGAGATTAACTACTTCAAATGAAGATCACAGTGAAATCAGAATTAACAAAGATCTACTCTAGGTGAACTGTCCAAATAAAATTTCCTTTCCAAATGATTATTAAAGTGTCTCTAACTGTGAGGCACTGGTGGTTCATGCCTATAATCCTAGCTACTGTGGAGGCTAAGATCTGAGGATCATGGTTTGAAGCCAGCCTACTCATTATCTCATTATCTTTTAGCAAAAAGCTAAAACGGAACTGTATGGCTCAAGGGTAAAACACTGGCCTTGAGTGAAAAAGTCAAGTGAGTGTAAGGCCTTGAGTTCAAGACTCAATACCTGAACCAAGAGAGAGAAACAGAGAGAGATTGAAATTTTGTCCCACAAAATATAAATAATAATTAAATAAATCTTTAAGATAGTAAAGAAGCTACAGACACACAAAAAAGAGTAGGTATAAAAAGATCATTTGAAAAAGATATTGTGATTAAGAGCTTCTAGGTGTTAGCAGTTATGCTCACCTCCACCGTTGGTTACTATTAAACTGTTGCGATTCTCTTGATATTGGCTTTCTCTTCGTAGTCTTTGCTCTTTAGTAATCTCTGCTACTCGGAGAGGCAGATCTGAAAATTCGTCTGTAGGCTTAAAAGAAGAAATATTTAAAGAAATAATTTCTAATTAAGTATAGCTATAATAATAATATTTACACTGAATAAATAGCAAAAAAGTTTAGGAAATGGGGGCTAGGAAGGTGGCTTAGTAGTATAGTGCTTGCCTAGCACACATGAAACCTTGGGTTCAATTCCTTAGTACCACATAAACAGAAAAAGCTGGAAGTGGTGCTGTGGTTCAAGTGGTAGAGTGTTTGCCTTGAGCAAAAGAAGCTTAGGGACAGTGCCTAGGCCCTGAGTTTAAACCCCAGGACTGACAAAGAAAAAAAAAAGTTTTGGAAATGGTTGTACAACACTGAATATATTTAATGCAATGGAAACACATACATAAAAAAGTTAAAATGCAAAACATACACATAAAAAGGTTAGAATGGCAAAAAATTAATAAAAAGAAAGGTCTATGATGACTCCATAAGTAAACATATGGGTTTAAATGATCTATCTCTCTACCTATCTCTCTATCTTTCTCTCTATCTTTGTATGGACACAGCCACCAAGGCATACATGCACAAGTAATTTGTACTCAGTGAAATAATGTTGTAAATATATATTACCAGTATTGGTATCATATGCTTATTTAATTTTAGATAAAATACCACACCTTAGTAACTTTAGAAAGTAGAAAACAGCACTAATAATTAAACAACACAAAGTGTTATCATTTAGAACATAAACTCTCTGAATGTTATCCCTCTCCCTGTCTTCCTTTGTTCCTGCTCTCTTACTCTGTCTTTCTCAGTTCTAGAAATTGGACTCAGAGCCTTAAACATGCTAAGCAAGTATTCTACCATTAAGCTAACATCTTTGCCAAGTTTCCATCTTTTTTTTTTTTTTGCTTATGTGGTGCTGGGGAATCGAACCCAGGGCATCATGCATGCAAGGCAAGCGCTCTACCACTGAGCCACCTTCCCAGCCCCAAGCTTCCATCTTTTTATCCATCAGTCTATAGCCCTATTTTTCTTCTTACTTTTTTTTTGTGGGGGGGAGGGCTGGTCCTAGGTCTTGAATTCAGTCTGGATACCATCCCTAAGGTCCTTTTGTTCAAGGCTATTTGAGCTGCGGCTCCGTTTTTGGCTTTTTCTGTGTTTAATTGGAGATAAAGAGTCTCACGAACTTTCTGTGAGGGCTGACTTCAAAGCACAATCTTAAATCCTAGCCTCCTGATTAGCTAGTATAACAAGTATAAGCCACTGGTGCCTGGCTATTTTTTTTTTTTTTTTTTGCCGATCGTGGACCTGAACTCTGGGCCTAGGCGCTGTCCCTCAGCTCTTCAGCTCAAGGCGAGTGCTCTACCGCTTGAGCCACAGCACCACTTCCAGCTTTTTCTGTTTATGTGGTGCTAAGGAATCGAACCCAGGGCCTCATGTATGCAAGGTAAACACTCTACCACTGAGTCACCTTCCCAGCCCTGCCTGGCTATTTTCATACCTTCTAATTTCCCTTCTACTACCTCTATTCCACATTATCAAGCCCCTCAAAGTTTAGGCTACAGTTATTTGGGGGAGGAGGTTAGTATGCTTTTTTAAATTAAAAAAATTTTTTTTGCCTGTCCTAAGGCTTGAACTTAAGGCCTGGGCACTATCCCTGTGCTTTTCCTTATTCAAGGCTGTTATGCTACCATTTGAGCCACAGTGTCACTGCAGGCTTTTTGTGAGTAGTTTTATTAGAGACAAGAGATGCCCCTCAGTAGATGAATGGATCAAGCAAATGGAATTCTATGCTTTCATCAGAAAGAATGACATCATCCCTTTTGGTAAGAAAATGGTAAGACTTGGAAAAAATCATATCAAGCCAAGTAAGCCAGACCCAAAGAAATATAGGCTCCATGGTTTCCTTCATTTGTAATAATTAGTATATCTCTAGAATAGACCTAGCAGAGTATCACAGTTATGTACATATGACCATCTAAAATTATGCTAATCAAAATGAACTCCAAGATATGAAAACAACAGAGTTTTTTTTGGGGGGGAATGTTTGCAGTTATTTCTTTTTTCTTTCCTCTTCTTTTCCCTGTTGTCACAGTTTTTGATTTTGGTATCCTTTGTCGTGTATATAAGTTTATCTGATTTGGGGAAGGTAAGGGGAATCACAGAAACAGTGGTACAAAGGGTGAAGCAATGTAACAGTGATACTCACTAGACACTATGCTGGAAATGAACTTTACAACTTGGGACAGAGGAGAATCGGGAAGAAGGGAAGGAAAGTGGGAGAAAATGAGGGAGGGGGGTAACACTGTTCAAAAAGAAATGTACTTGGGGCTGGGAAGGTGGCTCAGTGGTAGAGTGCTTGCCTTGTATGCATGAGGCCCTGAGTTCGATTCCTCAGCACCACATACTACATAAGCAAAAAAGGCTGGAAGTAGTGTTATGGCTCAAGTGGTAGAGGGCTAGCCTTGAGCTGAAGAGCTGAGGCAGAGTTCAGGCCCCACAACTGAAGAAAGGAAGGAAGGAAGGAAGGAAGGAAGGAAGGAAGGAAGGAAGGAAGGAAGGAAGGAAGGAAGGAAGGAAGGAAGGAAGGAAGGAAGGAAGGAAGGATTAAAAAATAATGTACTCATTACCTTACTTATCTAACTGTAACCCTTCTGTACATCACCTTTACAAAAAAAAAAAGTCTGACAGACTTTCCTGCCCAGGCTGGCTTTGAACCACAATCCTAAAATCTCAGCCTCCTGAATAGACAGGATTATAGGTATGAGCCACTGCACCTAGCTAATTTTTATTTATTTTTTGCCAGTCAAGGGGCTTGAACTCAGGGCGTGGACAGTGTTCCTGAGCTTCTTTTGTTCACAGCTAGCACTCTACCACTTGAGCCACAGTGCCACTTCCAGCTTTTTCTGTTTATGTGGTACTGAAGAATTGAACCCAGGGTTTATTGCATGTGAGGCAAGCACTCTTACCACTGAGCCATATTCCCAGCCCCTAATTTTTTATGTTTTTTAAGACAAGCTTTCCCTATGTAGTGCAGGAGGGCCTCAAATTCATAATCCTGCCTCAGCCTCCTGTAATCCTACTAAGATTATAGGTATGTACCACTATGCACAGTAAGGCACCAGTTTTTACTGACAACTCTTATTTATATCTTTTCACAATAAGAAAACTGTTTATGAGAGACAACAAGGTAACAAATATATAAAATACATGCCATAAAAAGATGGTAAAGAAAAAGAACAGCCTCTACAGATAGCTGCTCCTCCCCTCAGTTTTCTGTATTTTACATACAGAAAACAAAGTGAAAAGCCTGAAGTGGAGCTATAGCTCAAGTACTAGAGTGCTAGCCTTAAGCAAAAGAGCTCAGAAACAGTGCCCAGGTCCTGAATTCAAGGCCCATGGCCAGCACACAAGTGAACACATATCCGCACACATACACACACACCAAACAAACAAAAAAAACCAGACAGACAAACAAATGCTCTGGAAACCTGAGAAGACTGAATCTTTTACAAATGGAGAATTGTACACAGAGAAATTAACTACTTGAAAAGAAGATCATGAATTGAATCCAATTTAGACACCTTTCCTTTTCATCATTTTCTCTTAATTAAGGAGTTTTAACAAATGGAATAAAAGACTTACCTCATTCCCTGACCATCTCTTGTCCCCACTGTCCACACTATTAAAACCAGAATCAAGGGCTCCATAGGGGCGACTGGAATACAGTTCTTCATGGCTGTTCAAAATAAACTTCAGCATTTAATATTTTAAAAATTTACACTTGAAATAAATACAATTTTACTACTAAATGTTCCATGACAGACACTTAATCATTAGTACCACAACTGACAAAAAAAAAACAAAACAAAAAACAAAAATAATAACTAAAAAAAAAAAAAGATCCTAAAGTGAAGCTAAATACTGGTGGCTCACACCTATAATCCTAACTATTCAGAAGGCTGAGGGCTAAGGATCACAGTTCGAAGCCAGCACAGGCAGGAAAGTCTGTGAGACTTTTTTCTCCAATGATCCATCAGGAAAAAAAAAAAAGGAAGTGGTGCTGTGGCTCCAAGTGGAACAGCATTAGCCTTGAGAGAAAAAAGCTCAAGGATGGTACCCAGTCTCTGAGTTCAAGCCCCATGACAACAAAAAAAAATATCCTGAAGTGATGCTAACAAGTCAACAAATGCCACCTCTTCACTCTCCGAAGGGGAGGCAAGGTCCTAAAGTCTGAATGACTTGCCATGAGTCACAAGGGTTGTTATAGTAGAGCTAGAATTCAAGTCACTCTGACCACTGGTTTTCCACTGGGGGCTTGTCAGGTACACTCGCAATGTCTGGAGACATTTGTCATACCAGCAGGTACCACATACCTTGTGGGTGTAGTTTTACAATGTAGTATATAACACCTCACAACAAAGAATAATCTGGTGCAAAATGTTATTAGTGTCAAGCCTGATATAACTTAGAAGTATATATACCTTGTCAATCTATGCCATCAATTTTGCATTTAATTACATTTAATACATACTGAGGAAAGAAGTGTTTATAAATAATTTCCCTTCAGCCAAACATACAGGCATATTTAATGATTGTTTACTTAAATTCCTGTGTGATGGAATATGATGGATAGTAATATAGAACATACTCACCAGGAGCCAAAACCCAAGGGTCTCCTATCATAATCTGGGAGGTCTGGAGCAATCTTACAAGCTTGTATGTTTAAGTATTTAAATATGTGGATTTTGCCTTTGATACATATCTAAATAAGATAACACATAATGCAAACAAATTATTATTCATCTGAACTGTTTTTATCATGACAAATTTTAGTATAATATAAATTGGGAGAAGGCATTTCTAACCATACATAGTATAAGGTTAAAAACAAGGCCCTGAGTTCAAATCCTAGCAGTTTCAAAAAAACAATGACCAACCTAGTACAGCATAACTACAGTTTTTTTGTTTTCTAGGCATTGATAAGATTCAGTTACATAGAAATAATTGGTGATTACAAATACTATTAGAACACTCAGGAAATTTATCTACTTATTATAATTATTCAATCAGGAATTTAAAGACTTCTATCAAATAGAAGTCTATTTTTTTTTGCTTGTTGTGGGGCTTGAACTCTGGGCCTGGGAGCTCCCCCTCAGCTCTTCAGCTCAAGGCTAGCACCCTACCACTTGAGCCACAGCGCCACTTCTGGCTTTTTTCTGCTTATGTGGTGCTGAGGAATTGAACCCTGAAGCAGGGCTTCATGCATGTGAGGCAAGCATTCTACCACTGAGCTCACTTCCCAGCCCATGACAACTTTTAATTTAAAAATATAATGATCATGTATAATTGTGCTTTATTTTTGAGCAATTTATAGTTTGCTACGTAGCCCAGGCTGACCTTGAACTCACAACTCTCCTAACTTAGTTATAATTATGCTTTTCTTTCCGTTGTTTTTTTTTTTTTTTAAGTTGTTGGTCATGGGGCTTGAATTCAAGGCCTTGGCACTGTCCCTGAGCTCTTTTGCTCAAGGCTAGCACTCTACACTCTACCACTCAAGCTGCAGTCCACATCCCACAATTATATTTTTGATCCTGCTTTCTATGAGAGAACAGAAAATGATGAATTGTTATAGATTATATATATATATATATATATGTATATATATATTTCTATCTATCCTAGAAATAAAAAAATAAATTCTTCAAGCTAGTAAAATTTGCTCTGATTTGAAACTAAAAATGTCCTTCATAGGATCATATATTAAATCTCTGGTTACCAAATGATAGGCTAATCTATTGATGAACTCATTGTTCTAGAGACTATTAGGAGTTATGTCTGATTGGAAGATATAGGTCAGCCTAGGCTGACTTTAAACTGCGACCCTCAGATCTCAGTCTCCTGAGTAGCTAGGATTACAGGCATGAGCCACTGACACCCAGCTACAAATCTACTTTCTAACAACACAGTTTCTGTCTTTTCTAGAATTTCATGTTAGTGGAACCTTAACAGTATGTAGCATTTTGTTTCTGGTTTATTTCCTTAGCAAACTAATTTTGAGATACATTGATTTCTTTATTTTTTTTATTGTGAAAATACTGTACAGAGGGTTACAATTACATGGGCAAGATAATGAGTAAATTTCTTATCAAGCATTGTAGCCTCCTCCTTTGTTTCCCCTTCCCATCCCTTCCCATCCTCCCCCTGACCCTCCCACCCAATCCTCCCCGCTCCACCCCCCCACCAAAGTTGTAAAGTTCGTTTTCGACATAGGGACTTGTACATCTCATTGTTGCAATGGGTCCACCTGAGAGATACATTGATTTTGCATTTTCAAAACTGGGCAGAAGAGGGCTAGGAAGGCAGAGTGTTTGCCTTGCATGCATGAGGCCCTGGGTTCGATTCCTCAGCACCACATACGCAAAAAGAAAAAAGCCAGAAGTGGTATTGTGGCTCAACACTAGCTTTGAACTGAAGAGCTGAGGGACAGCGCCCAGGCCCAGACCTCAGGCCCATGACCAGACCCCCCCCCCAAAAAAAAAAAAACAAAACAAAAACAACTGGGCAGAAGATTTGAATGGCCAATTAACAAAAGAAATGAATGGATGACCAGTAAGCACACCATAGCAAGCACACCACTATTACTCATCAGAGAAATACAAATTAAGACCACAATGAAACACTAAGATAGCAGTTTACACTCACCAGGATGGCTAAAACTAAACAATAGACAGTGTAAGTATTGGTAAATGGAACATGAATATATTGCAAGTAAGGTATGCAAAACAACCAATTTGCTTTAAAATGGTTTAGCTACTTTTAAAACAGATCAGCAGGGGCTGGGAAGGTGGCTCAGTGATAGAGCGGTTGCCTTGCATGCTCGAGGCCCGGATTTGATTCCTCAGCACCACATAAGCAAAAAGAAAAAAGCTGGAAGCGGCACTGTGGCTCAAGTGGTAGAGCGCTAGCCTTGAGCTGAAGAGCTGAGGGACAGCGCCCAGGCCCAGAGTTCAGGTCCCACGACTGGACCCCCCCCCCCAAAAAAAAAGAAAGAAAATAGATCAGCAGTTTTGTTGCTCTTCTTGTTTTAGTTTTGTTTTGTCTTTAGATAAATGTACACAATATCATATAAACCATTCTACTCAAATATTTACTTAAAATACTAAAAGCTAAAAGAAAAAAGCTCATAGTTTGAGCTTGCTTGTGGTGGTCTTGTGATGAGAAAGGCCATATACTATCAAGTATATGCATACCACCTGGTAGCCAGGATGCAAAATGACAGAGAGGAAAAGTCAAGGGACATGCTTCCTTCAGAAGCAAGCTTTTAGGTTGACTTCTTTCAGGTATTTGTCACTGACAAAATATCAACTAATACAAAACCCTTCTACAGTTAGGAAATTTACATACAAAATTTTACAGCTGCCATAAAGTTTATCAGTGGCTTATATAACATTTTTACTGAATCGCAGAGTTAAAATGACCTCTAGAGAAAATTATAGGTTGGCAAACACTTAAATGTTAGGATAGCTATTATCTATTTGTAAAGTTATATAATAATTACTTTGCTACTGATTTCATTCAGTCACCGACAAACAAATGAACAAAGTGGCTAACTAACTTAAAGCGATTAGAAAACAGGAAGGCAACCCCCTCCCCCCGAAAAAGCCAACAGTGTTAACAAAAATGCATTGATAATCTTTAGTTTGGAAAGCTATTTTATTTGTATCTAGCATTTATGTGCTCTATATTCAACTTTTTCTAGAAGAAATTTAAGAAGGAAATTAACTCATTTTATTAGAAAAAAAAACTGGAATTTTTTCTTCTAGTCCTGGGGCTTGGAATCAGGGCCTTAAAGGAGAATGCTTGATTTAACTTCCACTCTGAGCTAGTGCTTGGTCACTTGATCCACTATTGCTGGCTTTTTGTTAGTTAATTGGAGATAAGTATCTCTCAGATTCTTCTGTTGGCTTTGAATCGCAATCTTCAGATCTCAGCCTTCTGAGTATCTAGGATTACAAGGCATAAGCCACAGCAGCTGATCAGCTCTGCATTCTTTTTTTTTTTTTGCCAGTCCTGAGCACTGTCCCTGAGCTTCTTTTGCTCAAGGCTAGCACTCTACCACTTGAGCCATGGTGCCACTTCTGGATTTTTCTGTTTATGTGGTAAATGAAGAATCAAATCCAGGGCATCATGCATGCTAGACAAACACTCTACCACTAAGTCTCATTCCCAGTCAAATTCTTGTTTATCTTGGCTGGTACTGGGCTTGAACTCAGGGCCTCAGCACTGTCTCTGAGACTCTTAGTGCTCAAGGTTTGCATGTTACCACTTTCTGTGAGACTATACTTTCTGTGAGACTATTAGCTCCAATAAACTACTCAGAAAAAGCCAGAAGTGGTGCTGTGGCTCAAATGGTAGAATGCTAGCCTTGAGCACAAAGAAGCTCAGCACCCAGGTCCTGAGTTCAAGCCTCGGGACTGGCACACGTGCGCGGGCGCACACACACACACACACACACACGCACGCACGCACACACACACGTAAATTAGAAAAATGAAAGCACTTTTGAACACATCACCTTATCATCTTTCTTCTACAACATTTACTCAAAGGTTTTAAAAGAATACATATTTTAAAAACTTAATTTCAACAGAAAGATAAATGAACATAACTAAATGTCACTCTATGGTTTACCTGTGCAGGAGGTGACTGCAGTGGGTTGTTATCTAGGGTGATCACCTGTAGGTGCCTGAGGTTCCTATAACAAACAGGAATGGCTACAATTTTATTGCATGAGAAGTCTAACCGTATCAAAGGCAATTCTGCCAGCTCTGCATGGAGGAAAAAGAGAAATGAACAATTAATGATAATATATATATATATACATACATACATACATATATATAATATATATATATATATATATATATATATGTAGTTGTCCTGAAAGACAAATAATAATGAAAGAATTATTTTAGTTTCTTACCTTCAGGCAAACGTACTAAATGATTTCTTCTTACATTAAGATCTCTCAAGGCTTCCAGATTACCGATTTGGGAAGGTATAGTTTGGATTTCATTGCAACTCACATCCTGTTTCAAAAGGATAAAGGTATACATTGTTCAAATGCCAGTACTGACAAAAAAAAAAAAAATGGGGGAATGTAGCTCAATGATAAAGTGCTTCCTTGCATTTCAAAAGCCTGGGCTCAAGTGTCAGAATTAAAAAATGTGAATAGTAGGCCTAGAATCTCAGATCAAATGAAGATGTTGATAAATGGCAAAATATAAAAAGTATATGTTTATATTATTCTAATCAAAGAAACAAGGGTCAAAAATTATAGAGTAACTTGAAATTAAAATTTCCATTTTCGCCAGGCACCAGTGGCTCACACCTGTAATCCTAGATACTCAGGAGGCTGAGATCTGCAGATCACGGTTCAAATCCAGCCCCGGCAGGGAACTCTGTGAGATTCTTATTTCCAACAAACCACTAGAAAACCAGAAGTGGTAATGTGGCTCAAGCGATAGAGCACTCGCCTTTAGCTAAAGAGCTGAGGGATAGCACCCAAGCCCAGAGTTCAAGCCCCACGACTGACAAAAAAATAAAAAATGAAAATAAAAATAAAAATTCCATTTTCAAGTCAGGTGCTGGTGGCTTAGCTACTCAGGAGGCTGAGATCTGAAGATCATAGTTCAAAGCCATCACAGGCAGCAAAGTTTGTCAGATACTGATTTCCAATTAACCAGCAAAAAGCCAGAAGTGGAATGTGGTTCAAGTGGAAGAGCATTATCCTTGAGGGAAGAAACTAAACAACAGTGTCTAGTCTCTGAGTTCAAGCCCACAGTCCTGGCAAAAAAATCCAACTAACTAACCTACCACAAAAAATGCCTATTTATTTTAAATATCACTTAAAAAAGTATAAAATAAAAATGAACAGGTGACAATTATACTTATTATTCTAATCACATTGAATATGGGGAAATAATAAAGTATACAACTCAAAAGCTGTTAAAAACAAACTCACTGGGTATTGGTGGTACATGCTTATATTCCTAGCTACTCAGGAGGCTGAGATCTGAGGATCTTAGTTTGAAGTCAGCCACAGCAGGGAAGTCTGTGAGATTCTTATCTCAATAAACTACCAAAAAGCCAGAAGTGGAATTGAGCAAAAGATGCTCAAGGACAATGCCCAAGCCCTGATTTCAAGCTTTAGAACTGGCACCATAAAACAAACAACAACAACAAAAATCCTCCAAATCCTGCTCTATTAGCATTGTATCAATCTTATTCTTACATGCTTAGGTTAGATTTCTAGTAACTGATTAACTGCTTAATTTGCAAGGATCTGAAAAGACTAGCTACAGGTATCATGAATAATAAAATCCTTGGTTCCATAATTCTGAGACCAGCCAGGATAGTTTGTAAACCCCTAATCACATACAACAGAGGGAAGCTGCTTAGACTATAAAAGCTCCAAGTTATATACAAACACTTACTATTCCTTCAATATGAGTAAACAATACATTTGCTGACTTATCCAAAACTTTAATAAATATCAGGCATTATTTTTTAATTTTGCCAAAATATTCTGAGGAAATTATATAATTACTTTTCCTACTAGTTAAAGTAGAACTAGAAATTAGGCTTGAAAGAAGCTTGGAAAGGCAGAAGGATTATGTCTGAGCTTAAGGATCATGACAATTTATAATTTATCTGACAGGAAAATATATATGCTCAAAGATAGCAGTTTTCTTTTTGTTAGAAATGGAGGGGAGAAAGAGACAATATAAACATTGCAGAAAGACCATCAGTGAATAAGAGAAATTTTACTCTGTCCTAAGTCCCCTTTGTGGCTGTAGAAAACTAAAAGCAGCTACTGAAATGTATCTATCCTTTAAATATTCAGGCTTGACTAAATAGAAAAAAGATACTTGAAATAATTTGGAGATAAGCATTTTAATTAGAGTATGATTTATGACCTTATGACCCAAACTCTGAAGATATGCCAACAATCATATATTTTGGAATTCATTTCCTAGGTCTAATTGACTCTAAATAATACTTTAGACTCTATACTTTAGATTTAATGTCTACAAATTTTTACATGTATCATCATATAGTAAAAATATTCCTGAAAAGTTTAATATGCCCATCTAAAGTATCATTATGTAAATAACCACCTTTGTTGATAAGCCAATGAAAAACTGTACTCCAAAATCTCAACAGATCCAATTAGACTCAAATGTTTTTTTCTTTCTTGCCATTGTTTCTAATGTATTTATAAGATTTTTTTTGTTTGTTTGTTTTTGGTCAGTCGTGGGGCTTGAACTCTGGGCTTGTGCGCTGTCCCTGTGCTCTTGAGCTCAAGGCAAGCACTCTACCACTTGAGCCACAGCGCCACTTCCTCAACAGATCCAAGTATACTTGACCATTTCAGAAATAAAAAACATGGACTTTAAAGTAGGCTCATTTCAAATCCTATAGTTATATGCCTTGGGCAAATTATTTAATGCAAGTGTTGGTTTCCTCAACTTTAAAATGAAAACAATTTTAGTACTCAGCTCATAATATTATTGTGGTGATTAAGAGAGAAAAGTCTTAAGCTGGGCACCAGTGGTTCATGCCTGTAATCCTGGTGACTCAGGACGCTGAGATCTGAACATCACAGTTTCAAGCCAGCCCAGACAGGGAAGTTCATGAGACTTTTACCTCCAATTAACAACCAAAAATCCAGAAGTAGAGCTGTAACTCAAGTGGCAGAGCATTAGCCTTGAGCAAAAAAGCTCAAAGACAGCTCCCATGACCTAGGTTCAAGTCTCAGGACCATTGCAAAAAAAAAAGGAGGGAGAGAAGAAATAGGGAGACAGAAAGAGAAAGAGAAAGAGAAAGAGAAAGAGAAAGAGAAAGAGAGAGAACATAAATACTCAGGAGATGGTCTCCTCTAATTTACAACAAAGAGTAGGAAAAGTTCAAATAAACATCTTAGAAAATATACAGCAAACAAAGACTGGTTGGATGTGTTGTACCTGCCTAGAAAGCTAGAGGCCCTGAATATAAATAAACGTAGCAGGTAGCTCACGCCTATAACCCTAGCTACTCAGGAGGCTGAGATCTGAGGATCACGGTTCAAAGCCAGCCCAGGCAAGAAAGTCTGTGAAACTCTTATCTCCAATAAACCACCAGGAAACCGGAAGTGGCAGTATAGCTCAAGTGATAGAGTGCTCGCCTTGAGCTGAAGAGCTGAGGGGCACAGTGCTCAGGCCCAGAGTTTAAGCCCCATGACCGACAAAAAAACAACAACAACAAAGAAAGTAGTACTATAAAACAAACCAACAACAAAAAAGTAGTAAGACAAAATACAATCTTAAGAATAGTAATAAATAAGATTGACCTCTGTAATGCCCATTCTTCTCTAAAGTATAATTTAAAAATTACAACGTTGGAGCTTATTCACTATTGATTATTAAAAAACTCAAATGATATTTCCCATTTTGTGTGGGTCTATCTAACTTGTATTTCAGTTCTTTCTTCTTCTTCTTCTTTTTTTTTTTTTTTGTGCCATGCCTAGGGCTTGAACTCAGGCCTTGGGCCTTGTCCCTGAGTTTTTGTGCTCAGGCTATTACTCTACCACTTGAACTCTGCTTCTGGCATTTTTGTGGTTAATAGAAGATAAGAGAATTGTGGACTCTCCTGCCTGGACTGACTGAATTGTGATCCTCAGATCTCAGCCTCCTGAGTAGCTAGAATTATAGTTATGAGTCACAAGTGCCTGGTGTTCAGTTCTTTCTTCATCCTATGTCAAGCCAACACTGGAAGTTAATGAAAACACACAAAAAATATTTTAATAACTGATCTTTACCACACAGAACATTTATGTTTTGACTAATAGAGATATACTCAATAGCCAAAAAAAAAAATATTAACTGTAGGTTAATGGGGGGAGCACTGTACTGGTGGTAAGGATAAAGGAGGCTGAAATAAATGGCTTCCAACTAGGAAAACACAATAAGAACACCTGGGCATGCTATGTTTTAGGAGTAGAGAGTAAACAGTATGATAGAAGGTAAAATTGATTTTTATATGGTGTAAACATGTGGAGATATAATAATGAACAAGAAACCATCCTTGTATAATACAATTATAAATAAATACACAAATAAATACCTAAATACACACACATAAATACATATTAACTTACAAGTTCCGTCAAATGTTTGAGATGTCCAATGTCTTCTGGAAGTGAGACCAATTTGTTATTACTAGCAATTAAGACTTTCAATGGTAAATTACACAAGTGTACTGGCAATGTTGAAAGTTGGTTCCGACTAAAATAAGTAAAAAAAAGAGGAATCAGAACCTACAAGGAAGAAAATTTTTCCATTTTTCTTATTCTAGATTCAAATGTAAGGCTTTTTTTTTTTTTTTTTTGTCAGTGCCGGAGCTTGAACTCAGAGTCTGGGCACTGTCCTGAGCTTTTTTTGCTCAAGGCTAGCACTCTACCACTTGAGTCACAGTGCTATTTCCAGGTTTTTCTGTTTATGTGGTACTGAGGAATCAAACCCAGGGCTCCCTGCAAGCATTCTACCACTAAGCCACAACCGTAGCCTTCAAATGTAAGTCTTACAAGGAACAAATAAGATGCTAGATTTGTGGTCTAGCCTTCATTTAATCAGTTGTCATCTTTGTGGTTTAGGGGACAATATTAAATTTATGAAGACTCCTCATATATTAATTGAGAATTTTAGTATCTCTCTACAGGACTTATAAAGCACTTACATAATGAAACTTCTTTGTAAAGAATGAAGACTGGGGCAGGGAATGTGGCTTAGTGGTAGAGTGCTTAGCATGCATGAAGCCCTGGGTTCAATTACTCAGTACCACATAAACAGAAAAAGCTGGAAGTGGCACTGTGGCTCAAGTGGTAGAGTGCTAGTCTTGAGCAAAAGAAGCTCAGAGACAGCACCCAGATTCTGAGTTCAAGCTCCAGGACTGGCTTTAAAACAAAACAAAACAAAAAAAAACAAGAGCTGACCAGACGCAGTGGTTCATATCTATAATCCTAGATACTTAGAAGGCTGAAATCTTAAGATTGTGGTTCAAAGTTAACAGAAGAATCTGAGAGATACTTATCTCCAATCAACTGGCAAAAAGACAGCAGTAGAGGGGCATGGTTCAAGTGACAGAGCACTACACTTAGCTCTCAGTGAAGTCAAATCAAACTCTCATTTAAGGTCCTGAGTTCAAGCCACCACACTTTTCTCTCCCCGCCACCCATCCCCGCCCTGAGAGATTGAAGTGCCACAGTTGGAGATTTAGTTCAGGATAAATGCAAAGACCATATTATTATTTTATTTATTTATTTTTTTTGTCGGACGTGGGGCTTGAACTCTGGGCCTGGGCGCTGTCCCTCAGCTCTTCAGCTCAAGGCGAGTGCTCTACCACTTGAGCTACAGCGCCACTTCCAGTTTTCTGGTGGTTTATTGGAGATAGGAGTCTCACAGTCTTTCCTGCCCGGGCTGGCTTTGAACCGCGATCCTCAGATCTCAGCCTCCTGAGTAGCTAGGATTACAGGCGTGAGCCACCAGCGCCCAGCCATATTATTATTTTATAAAAGGAAACAATCATTTTAATAAGCATGGGTAAGTTTCATATCATCCTTTCTTCTTCCTCCTGAGGAATTATAAACATAGAATAACTTTTATTACTCATTACTATATTACCACCAGATATACATAAGTGATTTTGAGGGCTGGGAAGGTGGCTCAGTAGTAGAGTGCTTGCCTTGCATGCATGAGGCCCTGGGTTCAATTCCTCAGCACCACGTAAGCAGAAAAAGCCAGAAGAGGTGCTAGAGTACTAGTCTTGAGCTAAAGAGCTGAGGGACGGTGCTCAGGCCCAGAGTTCAGGCCCCACAATTGGCCAAAAAAAAAAAAAAAGGACGGTGGGAGCCGGGTGCCAGTGGCTCATGCCTGTAATCCTAGCTACTCAGGAGGCTAAGATCTGAGGATCCCGGTTCAAAGCCAACCCGGGCAGGAAAGTCCGTGAGACTCTTATCTCCAATAAACCACTCGAAAACCGGAAGTGGCGCTGTGGCTCAAGCGGTAGAGCACTCACCTTGAGCTGAAGAGCAGAGGGATAGTGCCCAGGCCCAGAGTTCAAGCCCCACGACTGACAAAAAAAAAGTGTGTGGGGGGAGGGGATTTTGAATCAGCTCTACAAAAAACAAGTGACAGGTAATGATTTCATAAACCATACAAATTAAGCTACAGGTAAAAATATTTTTACTTACATGAAAACCACAAGTAAGAGCAAAATGATAATATTTATTGGGATAAAAATTCAAATTTTACTGGGCCGGGAAGGTAGCTCAGTGGTAGAGTGCTTGCCTTGCATGCATGAGGCCTGGGTTCAATTCCTCAGCATCACATAAGCAGAAAAAGCCAGAAGTGGTGCTGTGGCTCAAGTGGTAGAGCACCAGCCTTGAACTGAAGAGCTGAGGGACAGCCCCCAGGCTCAGAGTTCAGGCCTCATGACAGACAAAAATAAATAGATAAATAAATTCAAGTTTTACTTATGTAGATTTAAGCTCCTAATCCTAGGGACCAATTACTTCCCTATTTCATGATCTTTTGCTGATGCAATAATAAAGATTCTGGGCTTTTAATATTTTCTCAGTCCAATATTAATTCTATTCTTAGACATTTAACTTGAGAGAAAGCCATTTATATAAGGACATATACTAAGATATATACATAAATATTTCTCTATTAATGCTACTTTTATCATGGTAAAAAACTAAATAAGTATCTTGAGAAAAAAATGAATTTTAAAAGTATTTAAACTGTAAAACAAAATGATTACCTTGAAAAATATTTGCATAGAATATTTTATGACAAGGGGAAAGGCATATTCAAAAATTTGACTATGTGGCCATAATGACAAATATCTGTAATCCTAGCACTCTGGAGGTGGAGGCAGGAGGATTGCAAGTTCAAGATCAACCTGCACTACATAGCAATACTTTGTCTCAAAAGGAAAAAAAAACTGACTGAAAGCCTGGAGAAATAGAAGGAAAAAAGTCACCTACATCATAAAACTCAGATACAGCACTTTTACACTTTCTCCATTTGTGTATTTTTTCCAATAAAGTTTTATGGCTTTTACAGTGCAGTAAAGCACATTATAAGATGAGTTGAATATGTATTTACAACTTAATACATAAAAATCCGTGGTCACAAGAAGCAAATGAAGTAATTTCAAATCTACTATATTCTTAATTGACAAAGCTAATTTGCAGACAAAACTGCAGAACCTTGTTACAGACAACTAACTGCAAGCCTACTAGGCTAACAGTTTAATAATGGATAAGCTTGAGGACTTTGAAATACTGTTAATGTAACTTAAAAACATGTATTGAGACACTGATAAAACAGATAAGGTAAATAAAGGTAAACATTTTACTGAAAGAGGAAAAAATTAAAGATCACATAAAGACATTTTTAAAAAAGAAAATAATATTCTTACCTAATATTTAAGAATGTTAGAGCTTGTAGATTTAGAATTGCCTCTGGGATGTATCGAATACAATTTTGGTACAGGTTTAGGTTTTCAAGAGAAACAAAATGACATGCTTCTATAGGAATTTCTGAGAGACGATTTCGCGATAGGTCTAAAAGAGAAAATAAATTCAGCTTAAAATCAATCCTTGGATCAGGTGGAACTAGTAGCTCATGTCTAATCCTACTTCCACAGGAGGCTGAGATCTGGAGGATCTTAGAGGCCAGCTTGGGCAGAAAAGTTCACTAAACTCTATGTCAATAATAATCGGCAAAATGTAGGGTTTGAAGTGTGGTTCAAGTGGTAGAGTACTTGAGAATACTAGTGATCAAGGAGTCCCAAGTTCAGCCCAGCAGCCTGTAATCCCAGCTACTCAGGAAGCTGAGAACTGAGGATTGCAGTTTGAAGCCAGCCCAGGCAGTAAACTATGATAAGACTCTTATCTCCAGTTAAATCACAGAAAAAGCTGGAAGTAGTAACTGGCTGAAGTGGTAGAGTGTGAGCCTGAGCCTGTAGCAAAAGGAGCTCAGGGATGGCAGCTAGGACCAGAGTTCAAGCCTCAGGACTGGCAAAAAAAAAAAGTCCTGAGTTCAAACCCAAGTACCACCAAAAAGATCCAATACTTGGGACTTATTTTAATAAAATGTTAATAAGCAGATTTTGTGATAATTTGACTTTTTCAGAGTTCTTGTTATGGAGAGATTGGTTCAAGACAAGCATCCAAATATTTAGGGGTTAGGAGCATGGCTTAAGTGAAAGACTGCCTGTTTAGAAAATATGAGAACCTGAGTTCAAATTCCAGTATTTCTTCCCTCCCTCCCTCCCTCCCTCCCTCCCTCTCTCTATCTCCTTCCCTCCTCCTCCCTCTTTCTTTCTCCCTCCCTCCCTCTCTCCATACACTTCATATATAGAGAGAGAGAATAAACTATTTAAATATATGGTTCTAAATCTGTTGCTACAAGTGTTGATATCTTTTGAGTTTGCACATATACTAATAAAACCATTATTCTATGTAATTAAGACAAGTACTTAATAAGTTCTAAGACATCTACATATAAGTGGTATCAAAGATCATAATACATTCCAAATATCCTAAGAAATATAGATTCATCTAAAAATTCACCTTCCCAAAAGATTTTAGACTAGTAAAACTAAAACACTGTCTTAATCTTTACATGACAAGGATAATCAATCCTTGTAAGCGAATTCAGAATCAGGAGCTGGTTGCTCATGCTAGTAATCCTAACTAGTTAGGAGGCTGAGATTTGACGATCATGGTTAAAAGCTAGTCTGGGCAGGAAAGTCTCTAAGACTCTATTTCTAATTAACCACCAGAAAACCAGAAGCAGTGTTGTGGCTCAAAGTAGTAGAGAGCTAGCCTTGAGCAAAAGAGTTCAGGGACAGTGTCCAAGACCTGAGTTCAAGCCCTATGACAGGCAAAAAAAAAAAAAAAGAATTCAGGAACTTACTTAGCTCCAACTGGCCAAAAAGTGACACTAAATAACAGAGAATGAATTCAATATTATCTTAACGGATAAATAACATTTAGCTTTCCTTCCCTGTATGAAGATATCACTGAGGGCTGAGAATGTAGCTTAGTGATAGAGTGCTTGCCTAGCATGCAGGAGGCCCTGGGTTCGATTCCTCAGCACCACATAAACAAAAAGAAAAAAGCTGGAAGTGGCACTGTGGCTCAAGTGGTAGAGCGCTAGCCTTGAGCTAAAGAGCTGAGGGACAGCGCCCAGGCCCAGAGTTCAGGCCCCACAAACGGATCCCCCCCCCCAAAAAAAAAAAGAAAAAGAAAAAAGAAAGTGCCATGAATTAATGGATCTAGATTAAGCATCAATGGCTATCTTTATAAGAAGACAATAAATTATATGCCTCCCACTAGAAGAGAATATCATCTATGATCTTAACAAAGGGACATAATTTGAACCTAAGCAAACTTTTTTTTGCTTTTTGGTGCTAGTCCTGGGACTTGAACTCAGGGTCTGGACACTGTCCTTGAACTTTTGGGTTCAAGACTAGTACTCTGTGACTAGAACCAGGGCTCCTCTTGCAGCTTTTTGCTGGTTAATTGGAAATAATAGACATATGGGCTTTCCTGCTCAGGCTGGCTATGAACCACAATCCTCCTGAGGAGCTAGGATTATGGGCATGAGCCACTGGTGCCCAGCTAATTCCTTTATAGATAATAAGACATGTAACTATTTATTTATTTATTTACTCACTGTCTAGTATTCTGGAACTAGAAGATGTTGCAGGTTTACTTTGCAACTTTCTTGTTCCAGTTCAGAATCAGCCATTTTCTAGTGTAATAGAAAGTTCTTTTTTATTTGAGTGGGTAGGGAGAGGGAAAAACCCACAGGTCCTGAAGGAATCTTAAGAATCAAATGACTGTTTTAAATCCCAACGTTTTGGAGTGTTTTATTAAGCAGCAAATATAAACAAAAACAGCAGACATTGATACCTGGAAGTGAAAGGCCAGTGTAGCAAAACCTGAAACATCTGACATTGGCTTTAGAACCACAGTATACAGTGGACCTAAGGGGCACCACACAGAGCTTACTGCTGGAGGCCAGAAGGAATATAGGAAAATGCTATTAAAGGGTGGAAACAAAGTACCTCTATTTGCTCTGGCCAGTTAGAAATACTATAACCTGTAGTGACACAGTGGATAGAAACGTTCTAGAATAGATTTAAATTACTACAGATACATGGCTTTCTGTTATGAGGCTTATTAGGTTTACTGAAGAAATGTGTGACAATAAAGACCATTAGTATCTTGTCATATATATATATATATATATATATATATGTGTTGTGTGTGTGTGTGTGTGCGTGTATATGTGTGTATGTGTGCATATATATATATTTTTTGTTGTTGTTGTTGTTGTTGTTGATCATGGGGCTTAAACTCAGGCCCGGGTGCTGTCCCTCAGATTTTCAGCTCAAGGCGAGTTCTCTTCCACTTGAACCACAGCACCACTTCCAGTTTTTCTGGCAGTTTATTAGAGATAAGAGTCTCACAGACTTTCCTGCTCAGGCTAGCTTTGAACCATGACCTTCAGATCTCAGCATCCTTAGTAGCTAGGATTACAGGCATAAGCCATCGGTGCCTGGCTATTTTTAAGTATTTTATATTATTTATCTGTATTGGTGCTGGGCAGTTAACTCAGTGTATCCAGCATGGTAAGATGTAATCCACCCTAACCTAAATTCCTGGCCTAAATCTTAATGATGAGAAAGCATATTTATATACATAGATCAGGAATTTTCTATCCATTTTTTCCTGTTATTTTCATATATCATTTAAATATATTACATATTTCTCTTTCCAAATAATGTAAAGAAAACAAAAAATGTCAACCAAACTAAAAAAAAACAAAACTTTTAGTTAACTTAGGAAAGAAAGAACATGGGTTTCTGCCTCAAATGGGCTATGAATCTGGTCGCTGGTGGCTCATGCCTGTAATCCTAGCTACTCAGAAAGCTTACATCTGAGGACTGCAGTTCAAAAGCCAGCCCAGGCAGGAAAGTCTGTGAGATTCTTTTTTTTTTTTTTTTGCCGGTCATGGGGCCTGAACTCTGGGTCTGGGCGCTGTCACTGAGCTCTTCAGCTCAAGGCTAGCACTCTACCACTGGAGCCACAGCACCATTTCTGGCTTTTTCTGCTTATGTGGTGCTGAGGAATGGAACCCAGGGCCTCATGCATGCAAGGCAAGCACTCTACGGCTGAGCCACCTTCCCAGTCTTGTGAGATTCTTTTTTTTTTTTTTTTTGTCGGTCGTGGGGTTTGAACTCTGGGCCTGGGCGCTGTCCCTCAGTTCTTCAACTCAAGGCGAGCGCTCTACCACTTGAGCTACAGCGCCACTTCCGGTTTTCTGGTGGTTTATTGGAGATAGGAGTCTCACGGTCTCTCCTGCCCGGGCTAGCTTTGAACCGCGATCCTCAGATCTCAGCCTCCTGAGTAGCTAGGATTACAGGCGTGAGCCACCAGCGCCCGGCCCTTGTGAGATTCTTATCTTCAATAAACCACCAGAAAACCAGAGCCACCTTCCCAGCCCTGTGAGATTCTTATCTTCAATAAACCACCAGAAAACCGGAAGTGGCGCTGTAGCTCAAGTGGTAAAGCATTAGCCTTGAGCTGAAAAGCTGAGGGACAATGCCCAGGCTGAGTTTAAGCCCTACGACCACCACTCCCACTAACAACAACAACAACAAAAGGGCCATGAGTTTAAATAAAACTGGAAAAATGGGGCTGGGAAGGTGACTCAATGGTAGAGTGCTTGCCTTGCATGCATGAGGCCCTGGCTGGGTTCGATTCCTCAGCACCACATAAACAGAAAAAACCAGAAGTGGCACTGTAGTTCAACTGATAGAGAGCTAGCCTTGAGCTGAAGAGCTGAGGGACAGAACCCAGGCCTAGAATTCAGGCCCCATGAGCAACAAAAAACAAACAAAAAACCTAGAGTACACAAACTATTTTCTTTTGAGCTTTAAAATGTTTAGGCTGATCACTTTGTTTTAAAAATGTTTCAAAGCCATTTCCTGAAGGAATAAATTCAGAGAAAAATAGTTTTTTCAACAACCCAATTAATAAGTGGACAAAAGATATGAACATACTCTTTTTGAAAGTAGTAATAAAAATGGATTATAAATTCTGAAAATGCCCAACATTCTTGGCCATAATAAAGCAAATCAAACATTGAGATTACATCTCATTTCAGCATGGTTATCATTAAGAACACAAATAAATGTTGGCATGGATGTGGAGAAAAAGGAACTGCTGGTGGAAGTATAAACTATTATAATTACTATGGAAATTAGTAGAGGATCCTCAAAACCTAAAAATATACTTACTATGCAATACAGCATTAACCACTCTTGGGCATTTATCAGAAGGAATGCTGTTCAGAAAATAATAGAGGTACTTGCACACTCATGTTCAATGCAGCATTATGCACAGTAGCTATGCTATGGAATCAGCCTACAAACTAATGGATGGGTAAAAAAAATGTGGTATATATGTGTGTGTACATTAAACATAAGATACAGAATATATATAATATATATCTATATATTACGTATAATATACAACTCATAATTTAT